CCGAGCTTTTGAATGGTGTAACTTTTATAGAGAGATGTGCTTTGGTTGCTGAGAAATATGCACTAGTCTGGCGCTAGCAGGGGTGCAAGAATAGCTGTCGGGGGGTGCAAGAATAGTCATTCTCCTTTGCTAAGAGCAAAGATACACGGACCTCCAGCGCCGATCATCCCCGCTCTGATCGATCGAAAGCACTTCGAACGACGTAAGAAACCAACTCTTGTGGGTGTACGATTACAAATACAACTACAACGAGAGGAATTACTATAAAGTTCTCCTCTTTCATTCAGTACGTACAACAAGGTTCATGTGGAGGTGAGCATGCCTATCAGCTTGACGATGGCGTTCAAGATGATTCCGAGATACGTTCTTGCCTCGACCCTCGTCTCAGGAGGGGGCTTCCTCAATGGATACGATACTGGGTCAATCGGAGGCCTTACGACCATGCCACAGTTCAAACACTCGGTTGGGCCCATGACTCCATTCATACTGGGCTTCACCGTATCCCTCGTCATGCTTGCTGGAGGCCCGCCTTCGGTCTTCGCCGGCCAGCTTGCCGACCGCTACGGCCGGCTCAAGGTTATCGCCCTCGGTGCCGTTTTGTTCCTTGCCGGAGCCATGCTGCAGGGAACTGCGGCTTCCCTCACCCAGTTTCTTGTGGGCAGAATGTTGAGCGGCGTAGGCGAAGGCGTGTACTTGGGTAACATGAGTGTCTATATTTGTGAGATAGCCCCGTTGAAGCAGCGTGGGATGCTCGTGGGCATGCCGCAATTTCTGGCAACAGCCGGGGTCTGCGCAGGGTACTTTACTTGCTACAAGACCGTCGAAATTGGCTCGAGTATGGCGTGGCGGCTTCCCTATGTGGTTCAAGGAGCGGGTGCAGCACTTCTCGCTCTGAGTTGTCTGCTGCTTCCTGAGTCGCCACGCTGGTTGATGCTGCATGGCCAGCGGCCAGAAGCGACCCGCGCGTTGCAGCGACTGGACTTTTCTCTGGCAGAGGCGGAGCGAGACTTCATGGCCAGTCCTGAGCAGAGTCTCAGCCTCTCGCCCTGGCAGAGTTTTCTGCTGCTTTTCAAACGAGGCTATCGCGGCAGAACAGTGCTGGCGCTGTTCGTGTTGGGAATGGTCCAGCTCTCAGGCATTGATGCAGTGATCTATGTGGGTACCGAAGTACACGTCTCGTGCCCTGGTCAGCATGTTGACGCTGCTTGTTTGCAGTACGCTCCTGTGCTCTTCGCTCAAGCAGGACTGCCATCGGATACCGCTTCCTTCCTGGCCTCCGGACTGTCTGCAGTTCTGATGCTCGCCATCTCCATTCCCGCCTTCCTGTTTGCCGACAAGTGGGGGAGACGCACGTCAGCCATTACTGGCGGCGTTGGCCTGGCCGGGTGCATGCTGCTGATGGGTACCTTGTACGCCACAGGGATTGTCCATATGTACGCGGCCGCCAAATGGGCCGTCATTGTGACCGTTTTCGTTTTTGGGCTGATTTACTGCTCGACTTGGAACATCTTTGGCAAGATTTACGCGAGCGAGATACAGCCTTCGCACACTCGTGCCGCAGCGAACTGTGTTGCCATGGGACTGAGTTTTGTGAGTCTCTGCTCTTATCCCCGGGCTGTGGAAACGGGACTGATGATGCCTTCAGTTTGCCAACTGGCTCGTAGCCATACTCACACCGATTCTTCTCGACAAGTCCGCGTTTGGTGCCTATTTCTTGTTTGGCGGGCTGACTCTAGGCACACTTGTGGTCCTTGCGGCGTGCATGCCGGAAACCCGGGGACGTTCTCTTGAGGACATTCAGCAGGCATTCCACCAGCCTAGGTTGATTACATTTCCCAGTCGCATCAAGAAGTTCGCCATGCGACGGAGAAGGGCAGCACCCACTGTTCACGACAGATCTCCAGCGACCTCCGTGGAACTGGATCGCCAAAGCTCCTCTGCAGAGCAACATGGCAGCACCGTCAATGAGATGTCCCCAGGTGTTTTAGTTGGAGTCCCGCCCCTGTAGAAAGGAGTAGAGTGCCTAAGGTACCCAGGAGGAATATGATTCTTGTTTGGGCTTGATCATCGGAGAGATATGCCATGGTGGTCGCACCGCCATGTCCAGATCTCTCGATTTAGGCTTTCGCGAACTTGTTAATTACCAAATGCTCATTATTCGATTCGCTGCATGGTTCTTTGCTTGGATAGAATACTCTCCCAGTAGCTAGATGACATTAATAGAAGAGGTGCGAATGAATAAGTGAGTATGAACTAATCTGCTGTTGTCTACCACCGATGTTTGGTATGTTTGAGCAGAATCCAATGGACATCTCAACAAGCGTAGTTCAGCTCTCCCTTTATGGGAACAATAGAAGCTTCAATGCTCGAAGACCATGTACAAGTAAAGATAAGATAAGGCCCTTGTCAGGGAAGAACAGCGAGCAAACCGAAGGCCTGGCTCGCTGACTCGCCCTCCGCTCACTTGAAAAACGTGTCAGGTCCTGGGTCCTGTCGAGCTCTGGCCTCTGGGGATGCTCGTGCTGACATAAGACCTGTCGCCGAGCTCGGACCAGCTGCGGGCACCTGACACTCGACACCTCTTACTTCTGGGGCTGCCAGGTCAGTGAGAAAGGAGCCTCCCTATTGGTAGAGCAACGACAAGGCCAGGCGGATTTCCCATCGACCTCACACCTCGAAAAAGCACCTCCCTCAAGTCACCACCACCACTGCCTGCCTCAATCCTCCTCCTCCACACAGAGCTGCCATCACCCCCCAAACCCGGCTGCGACTACAATCCGCATCCCGCAAACCCTTTCTGTAGCAAAGCGCGACTCGAGTTTCTCGGTTCGATTTCTTTCCTCTCCCTCTCCCCCGCCCTCGCAACCTCTGCGCGCCCTGCCAGGTGGAAACCACAAACTCTGTTTCCCAGCTACATCGACCCGACTGACTCCAGCCCGCCCGACGTTCTCCTCGCACAGCCCTATCGCGTCACGCCTTCTTCCCCCAAAAGAAGGGTGTCGTTTTATGGTCATCGTGGACTCGAGCTCGATCACCCCCTTTCTTGGTCCATTTCGATGTTTTCGTAGTGCGCGACACGGCTCTTGTCACCCAATCTACCTCACCGAGTGGGAGTGGTTCCTATCCAGTCGAGGATAGCAGCACCACATTCCCCTACCATCCTCACCACACAACCCCATGGTCCCACCACCTCGGACAGGAACCTTTTCTCCAAACTCAACACAGGCCTTGCAGACCGGCTCTAGTCACTCGCCTCATCCGTCCTACACTGGCGGCCTGAGTGCTGCTGCCAGCCCTAGTACCAGTAGCCCCACTGGGAACAGCTCCTTGATCAAGATTGTCGTCGCTCAGGTATTTCTCCTCCTGAGCACCATCAAGGACGACAAGGACGACCCGTCCAAGTGGAATCACCAAGTGGAACAGTTGAAGAAGGTAAGCAATCGACCCTCCTGACCCAACTTGCTCTGCCAATGGCGAGCTCGCCTTCCTCGTGTGCCTGTGCGGACTCCTTCGCTAACTGTCGCCTCTCCCTGCAGCTCATCGATGACTACGGCATGGAAGTGTATACCAAATATATCTCTCGCCTGATAGCGAGTAATGGCTCCACGATATTCCCCGGCACCAAAGCCCCGCCCGGGGGGAACAAGGACAACTACAAACTCCTTGTCGCCGAGATGGGGAAAATAGCGCTCGACGTGGACCAAGCCCGCAAGATTGCCGAATCGGTTGAGACCGGGACTGAAGACCTCTTCCGAGACTTTGACCTATCTACCTTCATGGAACATTTCAGATTGGATGCTCTGGAGAAGACTGCTCTAGCTCTGGCTTTCAAGTTAGGCCCACGGTCAGATCTCAAGACAAAAGGTATGTTTGCTCTCCTATTCTATTGACCCAAGACCGCGCGACGTCTAAGATGTGCTGTCCTTCCTAGCCGACGCAATTCTTTCGACAAACTTTCCCACATTCCTCAATCTCCTTGCGAAGCCGAACGGCACGGACCCCCATGACCTCAGCCCGGCTTTCATCTCGGTGTTGGTCGATCGATTCATACAACTCCATCCTCCCAACTTTAATGCAGCTGCAGAGGCCGAATTGATCAACAAAGTCAACTCTCGCTATGCCTCGATCAGCCAAACCCCGCCATCAGAGGTCCTTGCCGCCCTTGACTTGATCAGGGTGCTCGCAGATCGACGCCCAAATACCCTCGCCCTGTATATATCCCGGACGGGGGCCGACTTCACCCGGGACGAAGACAGTTGCGCCGAATACCTCCGCAAGCGCCCTAACAATGTGCAGCTCGGCGAGGAGCAGGTAGCGCTCGCTCTGACATATACGACCATCTCACATACCCCATCCTACAATCCCGCCATCCTTGTTGCAGCACTGCGTCGCAACGTGCCCCCTTCCTTCCAGTGGCAGGGCGTCATCTCGCACTTTGACCGAAAAGATGCCAGCATCTCGTCTGCCCAATTCCTCCGTTTGTATAATGCACTGGTGCCCATCGCTCGGGAGAATCCTAGGTCTATGGATATCCAGCTTCTCTGGGGCGGGAATTGGGAGAATCCCGAGGTGCAACTGTCGTTCATTTGCGCATTCGCGTCTTTGACCCCGGACCAGCTAGACGCAACAACAATTCCTGGGCTGCACACCACGTTCGATCTGGAGACATATGCGCAAGCACCCGCAGCTATCCAGGAGCGGGCGGCCTATGCAATCAAACACCCTTTGGTGTCGCTTGCTGCTCTCTCCGCCATCTTCCACGTGGCTCTGCATTCGCTAGAAGCGTCCACCAGTCGAGAAGCTAAGCGCTTGTTCCAGGATGTTGTTGTCCCCAACCTGGACATCTTTATCGTGTCGGCTATAGGCGTTCCCAAGCCATGGCCAGATATGGCAAAGGACACTTTGAACACGCTCCTGGATAACTACCTGGCTAAGCGAAGTCCAAATTATGATTTTGTGCTGGACAGCACCTGGAGGAAGGAGAAGCCCTGGGTAAAGCAGAGGCTCATCGAGATCCATGCTATGCATCCCATGGATCTACCTGTCATGTTTGAGCACGCTGTCAAGCACAAGTGGCTCAACGAACTCGTGTATCTCCCCAATGGATTCGGCCTTGACCTTACTGCGTATGCACACGCTGAAGGCTTCATCGACCTTGCCGAATGGGCACGGAACAATGCCGACCGGAGTACCGAAATAGCTCGTTCGCTCATTCAATTCCTGATGATAAAGTCGAACCAAGAAATGCAGTCGCAGCGTCCGGATGGGATTTCAGGCCAAGCACAGGGAGCCAAGAACAGCATCCCCCTCCGAGTCCGGACTGTTTCTGCGCTCCTCAACATCCTTGAGGACTTCTTGCCAAAGACGCCCGTGCCAGACTTGATCCTGGTTCAACGCAGTTGTATCACCGTCTACCCACGCCTCATCAACTATGGTGAGGGCTACGATGAGATAATTGACGCAAATGGCCAGAACGGAAATGCTTTACCTTCAGCTGCAAACAGCAAGATGGAGGAGCACTACAAGAAGATGTATGGCGACGAGATGCAGGTGCGAACGATTGTCGAGATCCTCGAACGCTACAAGCATTCACGGGACCCGCTCGATCAGGACGTCTTTGCCTGTATGATCCACGGCCTTTTCGACGAGTACAGCCACTTCAGCGACTATCCCCTGGAGGCTCTCGCCACAACCGCTGTTCTCTTCGGCGGTATCATCTCCCACAAGCTAATTTCCGACCTCCCTTTACAGATCGGGCTTGGGATGATTCTCGAAGCTGTGCGAGACCACCCGCCAGACCACCCCATGTACAAATTTGGCCTGCAAGCGTTGATGCAGCTTTTTTCCCGGTTCCGAGAATGGCCTGGATTCTGCGATCAGCTACTTCAGATACCTGGCCTACGCGGAACCGAGGCTTGGAAAAAGGCAGACGATGTCGTTCGCAGTCATGATGAAGAGATGGGACGAGGCCGGAACGGCGCAGGGGCTCTGAGCGGCGAAGCGCTCACAAACGGAAACAATGAGGAAGGCATTGGCGGCGAGCAGCAACTCCCGCCATTCTCTGCCATCAATGTCGACGCCATTCCGCCCGGCGTGTTTTACGAGGATCCGAATGGTGATATCCAGGGCAAGATTCAATTCGTGCTCAACAACATCACCGAAACCACGCTGCAGAGCATGTTCGGTGAACTCCGGCAGCTTCTGGATGACAGACACCAGCAGTGGTTCGCAAGCCACCTGGTCGAGGAGCGTGCCAAGATGCAACCCAACTACCACCACGTCTACCTGGATCTGATCAAGCAATTCGAGGACAAGGCTCTCTGGCGAGAAGTCCTTCGCGAGACATATATTAGCGTTCAGAGGATGATTAACTCGGAGCTTACAATGCAGACCTCCCTCGAGAGAACCCACCTCAAAAACTTGGGTGGTTGGCTCGGTCTGTTGACGCTTGCCAGAGACAAGCCCATCAAGCACAAGAACATCGCCTTCAAGCAGTTACTGATTGAAGCCCATGATACGAAACGTCTGCTGGTCGTCATCCCGTTTGTCTGCAAAGTCTTGATAAGCGGCGCGTCCTCCAACGTCTTCCGTCCACCCAACCCGTGGTTGATGGATATTATTCACCTTCTGATCGAACTATACCACAACGCGGAGCTAAAGCTGAACCAGAAGTTTGAGATCGAGGTCTTGTGCAAAGGGCTGAACCTTGATCATACCAGCATTCAGCCATCTGGCGAGATCTTGAACCGTGTGCCCATCGACGAAGTCGCGGATCTAGGTGTTCCAGAAGCGGCTCTCGAATCGTTCGAGAACATGTCGCTCAATGGTATCGGCTCTGGCGTAGGCAGTGCTCTTTCTGCCCACGCTATCGCCCCCTCAATTCCTGACCTAGGGCCGAACCTCTCGATCCCGTCTGTGAGCGAGGTTATCGTCAGCCCGACTCGCCTTCATGAAATTGTCCGCAGCGCACTCACGAGGGCCCTTCAAGACATCATCCAGCCCGTGGTTGACCGCTCAGTGGCCATCGCTGCTATAGCTACGCAACAGATGATCCACAAAGATTTCGCCACTGAGCCCGATGAGAACCGCGTCCGTACAGCAGCTATCAACATGGTCAAGCACACTGCGGGAAGCCTGGCTTTGGTGACCTCCAAGGAGCCTCTCAGAGCCAACTTCACAAACTACATGCGGAGCTATTCTAGTGACCTGCCTCAGGGGGGGCTGCCAGAGGGAACTGTTATCATGTGCGTTACGTCAAACCTTGACTTGGCATCCAGTATCATCGAGAAGTCTACAGAGGAGCGGGCTATTCCCGAGATCGAAGAGATGATCGAGCCCGAGCTCGAGGCTCGACGGCGGCATCGGATGCAGAGACCCAATGAGCCTTACGTCGACCCCGGCCTCAGTCGATGGGCATGGACGATACCCAACCCTTACAAGCTCTCACCAAACATGGGTGGCTTGAACTCTGAACAGATGGCCATCTACGATGACTTTGCCAGGCAGCCGAGGTCCACTTCCGGGCAGGCGGTATCTTCACACATGCCCTCGTCATCCGACGCGACTCGTGCTATTACCAACGAGGTTCTTCAGGATCAGTACAGCTCGGTGCCTAGCATCCCGACACCAGCAGAAACCCCTGCGGTGCCTAATCTTGGAGCGCAACTGCAGCCATATCCTCAGGCTCACGGTGGGGCTATGATCAATGGCCGGCAGGCTGCTCCCACCATGGATACGAGAGTGCTGGTGGAGAGAGTGCAGAAACTTCTCACGGAACTTCAGCGTGCAGCCATGGATGCTACCGAGGAACACTTCAGTGATTTGCCAAGGTCGCATCCGCTGCTCGATATTGTCGATGCCCTGATGCAGACGGTTATCAAGTTCCGACAGCACGGCGAGGAGTATGCGGTGTTCGCCGCCGAGCATATCTGCCACACTCTGTTCCAGCCCTTGGATAGCACCCTGATGGTTGAGAGCCTGGTGCACGTACTGGAGTCGCTGCGAAGGATGGCAGGGCCCGCCCTCAGCCACCGCGTTCACATGATCTTCCAGCAACAGCCGGGCAACGTCTTTTTGCATCTGCCGCTCATCGCGGCCCTGCTGGGTACGGACCTGCTTGATTGGAGAAATATCAACTCTGCAGTCGCATCCGCCCTCAAGCAGCGTAAAGATAGCTCCCTCGAGTTTTTCGATCAGTTGATCGATATCGTGTTCCTCAACGAGGGCCCGCTGGCCATGTATGCCGACTTTGCAGACAGTCTGGAGGAGGCCTGGGCTTGGGTTGTGGAGGATCCCAATGTTCCCCACGGGGACCAGTTCAAGTCGAAGATGATTGCGCTTAGAGAAGCTCCGTCATCGACTCTTGTTCCCAGCGAACCCAATGCTTCTCGTCAGGAGCAGATGGAGTACGTGTTCGACGAGTGGATTCACCTGTGCAGCAATCCCAACGCATCCGAGAAGCTCATTGCGATCTTCATCCAACAAATCCACTCCCGTGCTATCATCTCGAGCAAGGAGGACTCGTTGGTCTTCGCCAGGCTTGCAATTGAGAAGTCTGTAGACAGATTTGAGGTCAACATGCAGACCGGCGGCGGTCTCGTGGAGGGTTACGCGGCCGTTGACTCGCTCGCTCGCCTCATGGCTCTGTTCCTCCTAAAGACGACTGGCGACAGTACGACCACGGGCACCTCCGCTCGCGCGGAGTACCTGGATCTTATCCTGTCTGTCGGTGTCCTGATGCTGAACTACCACCACGTCAAGCGGGGTGAACACTTCAATCAGCGAGTGTTCTACCGCCTATTCTCCATGCTGCTCCACGAGGTCAACACGGTCTCTGAGCAGTTCTCCGACGTGGACCGCAACGAGGTCGTACTCAAGTTTGCTGCCAGGTTCGACGACCTTGGGCCGAGGATGTTCCCAGGCTTCATCTACGGTTGGCTGTCTCTGATCCAGCACCGGATGTTCCTACCAGCCCTGCTTCAGCTGCCTTCGAATGCCGGGTGGGCACCCTTCACAAAGATCCTCTGTCAACTGCTCGACTATGTCGGTGAACAGCTCAAGCAAGTGGACCTCACCAATGTGGCCAAGGATATTTACCGCGCGACCCTCAAGCTCCTGATTGTTCTGCAGCACGACTTCCCGCAATATCTGGCGGCTAGCCACACGAGGCTCTGTGAGAGCATCCCGTCGCACTGCACTCAATTCCTTAACATGGTTCTCTACGCCAGCCCGATGCCGAATTCGAAGATGCCCGACCCTCTCCAGCCCGGCTTGCGCATTGATAGAATGGAAGAATCCCGTGATCCCCCGAGTGTGGCTGAGGATGCCAATGCCGTCCTGGCCCAAGCTGGTCTTCTGAACATCCTGGATCAAGCCCTTCAGTCGGGACCGTCGGAGGATGCTATTGCCCACATCACGCACGCAATCCAGAGGGCCGGCGTGGGCTTTACAGGGTTTGGAAACGTACCATACACGGTCAACCTCCCGCTGATTGATGCTCTTATACTGCACGTGGGCTCTTTCGCTGTTGCCCGCGCTCAAAAGGGAGGGCCTGTCTTTGTCGCAGGGGCTTCGGACATCTCGACTCTATCGATGATCTTGCACGAGCTGTCCTCGGAAGCACGGTACTTCTTCATCACGGGCATGATCAACCAGCTGCGCTACGTCAATGCCCACACGAATTTCTTCAGCCAAGCTCTGATGGAGATCTTCGGCCACGATATGGCAGACCCCGAGGAGATGGAAATCCGTGAGCAGATTTGCCGGGTGCTCCTTGAGCGGGCCATGGGACTTTGGCCGCAGCCGTGGGGTCTGTTGGTCACCATCATCGAGCTTGTCAAGAACGAGAAATACATGCTCTTTGATCTGCCTTTCATCAAGGCAGCTCCAGAGGTGAGTGCACTTGCTTAGGATCTACTCTGTCGTTCTCACTTTTGCTAACTTTTGAACCAGCTGGCCGAACGCTTCGGTGCCATTGTCCAACGCCAGTAGACCCAAGACTTGTCTCTGGTCTCTGCATGGGCAACAAGCCTATGCCTAGTCGTCGTCATCCATTTTGAGCCTTTTGCAGGCTCATAATGTCGATAATCGGGAGTCGACATGTCGCACAGTGTGTAGACAGGCTATGCAGGGAGCTCTTTTTGAAATGGGGATCAAGACAGAGCTCGCCTGCATCTGTGGATACACCCTGGAGCATGTTGACATGGGAAATGCAGTGGGGGTGGATTTATCTTCTATATGTGGCTGCAGGCAAGATCATTCGGCGTTTATTCCTTGACTTTTCGCTCTTTTTTTTGGTAGACATGGCCGGTGGCCTAACCCACACGGAGAGGGCAGTGAGGGAGGGAGTCTCGTCTTTAGCGTTGTCAAAGCAAGTTCCTATTCCTTGGCAGGAGGGTTTTGCATGGCGGCTGGCGTCCCTTTTTATATCCTGTTTTTGTTTCGAGGCATATGGGGCGGGCATATGCAGATGAGGAATCAAGGGAAAAGGGACGGCAGGGTGGTGGCTGCTTCTGCCGACCTTTGTCCCCGACGTTTCTGTTGTCATGATAGCGAGAGACACCGACCGGTACGAGAGAGAGAGAGAGAGACGCAGAGAGAAAAAGGCCCCTTGTTTTGTTGTTTGTTGCCCCCCCCCCCTCCCCGCCTGCACGGTTTAGCTTGGCTGGTATATGAACGACGACAAGGTCGGGAGCGTGCAGCGACGGGGTATGTATGTAATCTATGTATTAATAGGGGCCTGTCTTTCTATGCAAAAGAGAGGGCGTTTTTTTTATTTAATGACTCTACATATTTGATATACTTTTTTTCGTTTTCTCAAAACAAAAAAATAAATGAGCGGCCAAATCTTTCCCGGTGTAAGTGCTATGAGGTTGTAAGTGTTATAAGGTGCATGTAAGTTCAAGCATGTGATTATCTAGACCATTGGATGCATACGCATGTACAGGTCAGCATTGAAAGACGAGATGGGGAAGAAGACAAGTTAACACGAGAGATAAGGGGAAAAGAAATCATGATGCGGGGGGGGGGGGGGTTTGGTGTAGATGTTCTCCCGTCGAGGGCCACAAATCGTGCATGTGTCGTCCCGCGCGATGCAAGTTAGTCGGGAAGCGTTGCATCCCTATATAGGTATTATCCTGTGAGTTGTGTGTGGTGTTCGTCCAGCCGGCGTGCCTTAGTCGCAGGCCGGCTTGTGTGCCGGGGGCCAACAGCAACTTGCACTACTCCCGTGCTACTGTAGCCCATCTGGAGACGGTAACCCCGCATAAAGGGGGGAGGTTGCATGCGCGATGATATCAGCTTGCCTGCCTACCTTTGATACCTACCGCCGAACAATCCCCAGCAGCCAGCCGCACCAGCAGAAGGGTTTGCGACCAACCGCGGGGGCGGCGCCATAGGTGTATGGAAGGTCGGGGAGCTGCCAATTGGGGTGTAGCGAGGAGGATTGGATGTACCTAGGCGAGGAAGAATGGGAGAAAGAGCATTTTGAGGACTTAAAGAGGCTGGGAAGTTTTTGTCTCTGATCGCGGACGGTGGATCTAGATAGTGGCGAAGAGATCGGAGGATCCTGCTCACCACCACTGAAGGTGTATGATGGAGACTGGAGTGTCTACGTCTTCTCCAGGTTGTTTTTGGAAGTCTCGCAGGCCATCGTGGTTGAATCTGTGTATATCCACGCTATGGACCAGTTTGGCCAGTTGCATATTGCAAGACGTCGTATAACGGGAGTGAAGGGCCTCCTCCGTACCTCAGCGGAGCGACGCCAATTCAGCTTCATACAGGAGGACGTGGCTTGCCGGAAGCTCAGTCCAGATGCAAGCCATCGATCCGTCTTGCTTTAGGTGCCTACCTGCTCTGCCCTCCCTTTGCCGTTGGCGACGACAACACCAGTCTCAAACAGAAGGTCTCTAAAACATACCGATAGGTTCGCGGCTTGCATAGAGTTTGCGGGCTAGCTACATAAGCACCACCCTACCTACCTAGGTACGTATCATGTTCATCCCAAGGCTTCAGCTAAGCACGCAACTACGCACTTAGCTCCAGGTAACTAGTGGGCATGACCAGCTTTCGAAGCTGGAATGGAATGCAAGGCCACGGGAATGCAACAAGACGGGAGAGGGTAGCTGAAGCTCCAGAAGCTCTGGTGGCGCGCATGCGGGGGTTGGGGGGAAGGGAGAGGAAGCCAATTGCTCGCGTTACGAATAACAGCAGTAGATTGAGTAAGTAATGATGTCTGGATCCAGGACGAGCACCCAATGCTGGGTTGGCGATCGAGACGATGCGCTGATGCTTGCAACAACCCTCCCTAGGTATGACAAGGGCGGGCAGAGGGCGGTTGGTTGGGTTTGAAGGGGGGAGACGAAGTGACGTTGAGAGATTGGCGGGATCTGCCCTTGGTGACGATGGTACCAGTAACCAAACGTGGGAGGAGGAAGGCTTGTTGTGGGGCGGGAGCAGCCCAGGCGGAAAACAATATTCTGATGCAAGGGCCCAGGGGTAACCAGGGCGTTTGTGAGGCTTCTCTACTGCGTGTGACCGAATCGTCCAAAGTTGGCCAAGGCTACAGGCTGGGCAGCGATTCCGGTTGGCTGGTTGTTTCGCACCACTCACCTACATTACCTATTGGAAGGGAGGGAGCTACCTACTGCAGGGTTCCAAGAGAGGAGAGTACATGGAAAAGAAAGACAGACGGGACAGTGGTTTTTGCGCTGACGGGAAGCTGGGCACACGACAGGACCCGCTTGGGAGCTTCTCCCGCCCAGGGCCCAGAGAGGAGCCTGTCACAGCTTGCCGGAATCTGGAATTAGCGCTGACCTCATTGGCTGCACGGGGAGATCCATTCATTGGGAGGGGCCCTTTCCCTTTTCTGTCGTTGCTTGCTGCTCCATATCGTCAGCGCTGTACTACCAGGACAGAGAGAGAGAGAGAGTCCAGCCCGGGCTGGACTTCGATTGAGGCAAACAGAAGGCATCACGAGGCAGTGGTCGTTCGTATGCAGATGCGGGGAGGGGAGGATGCAAAGGGCTGGATTGGGTCAATGGGTGCTGGCAGGCTGAGAAAAAGCAAGCATTTGGGTTGGCTTTGGTTGGCTTTGGTTGGTGAGGTTGGGCAGCCAGCTGCCCATTCACATCCCCTCACAGGGACCCAGGGACGGGCATCCTCCGTCGACATCTTTTGCGAATGGGCGTACAAGAAACCAGTACTTGTAGATACCTTATGCAGATCTGCGCCCTTTTTTTCCCCTCAGGTTCACCAAGGCAAGTGAGGGGAGTGGAATGCCTAGACTCGAGTAGGAAAAGGGTCCTGGGGCCCATCTCCCAGTCCTGATGTCAGAGATCAGCACCTGATGTTTGTGTCGCAGATGGGAAAGATGAGAAATGGGGGACGCGAGACGAACGGCTCGGTGCAGCGCAGGAGAAGCCTGTTGGAACTTGATCCGAAGCAGTTGTTTAGCAGCCTACAAGCTGTATGCTAGCGCAGCGCCATCTCCGTCTTCGACTCGTGCCTTTTTTGGCTTCTCGAGACTTGTGTCGTCGATGAGTGGATCTGGTTTGCGTCGTTGGCTCAGGCCGAGGCTCCACCCTGCCATCATTTTTTATTACTCGCCTTGGCTTGTTCTTGCCTGGTTGCTTTTTTTTCGGGTCGTTTGATTTTCGTAAATTTTTTGCCATTGGCCACTTTGTTTTGGCGCCCGCGACAGGGGGTGGCCTGCCTGAGTGAATGAGGGAAGTGAAGCTGCTAGCTGCCTGCATGTACCCAGCCTATCGATATTTGCAGCCGTCTATTTGTCTATTTGGGCTGCTGGCACATGGGATTTCGGGGACAAACAGATCCCAGGCAGACGGACGGGTATGTGCAGGCAGACGAATACAGGTAATCTTGCGCCAGAAGCAATCTAGACGTGCAGAGCGCCATGTGCAAGCCCGTATCCAGAAGTCTGACAGAGATAATGCGGGCCGTCGACACAGCTGCTTGCCTGTACGGAGTAGCGTCATTTACATGGCAGTAGGCACGTACTCCGTAGGTAAGTACTCCGTACACTTCTACGTAGTATGTCGCGCATCTCTTGGTGGATGATGAGATCAACCATGGTCCGTGATGGCCTGCGCCGAGCAAAACGGGGGGTGTGATCAACTACCGAATTAGTAGCGGTTTGGACGAGGTACCGCCTGTTTTGGGCGAGTGTCAAAGCTTCCCCTCCGCAACCACGCCACCAGAAGGGTAATGTCGTCTTACCCGGGGAGGGCGCTTGATGACAGCGGGTGATGTTGCTGGTTTGTCTCTTGATAGTTATCCGTTTTGAAAGCCATCTCGTTTTGTGCGTGTGCATATGGTAGGGCAGAGCACAGAGCAGCAGCTGCAGACAGAAAGGGACAAGGTGCGGTTACGCAGCGATATGGAGATGGGGATACGACATGCATCACGACGAACCGCTCGGCTGTGATTCGTAGGCCTCACACACTGACTGGCAAGGCAAGGCGAGTCGGTCAGTCATGCCCACCGCCTTCATGTATGTATGTACATAGTTACCTCATGTACGGAGTATGTATGAAGAGGTATGTAAGTGGATGGATGGCTGGATGCGATGCTGGTTGCCTTGCGCATTGCCGCATCTCTGACAGGCATGTTCATACCGCCTTTTGGGGATGCGCTGTTGGTCCAGAGCAAAAGGGCGGCACAATCGCAAAGGTTGGCACACCACCCTGGAGAGGGAGGTACATTGCATGCATCCATGCGCATGCGATACCCATGTCACCCGGCTCCACCTCCCCTGGCTTCTGACTTTTTTTTTTCTTTCTTTTTTTCCCCCCCCGTAGCCTAGCCTCTTTTCCTCTCTCTCCCCCGAAACACAGCCGAATCGCAGGTGTGATACATGCATGCATGTTCCCTCCCTTCCAGTCCACCAACACAGAAAGAGAAAAAAAGAGGGAGGAAAAAAAAAAAAAACTTCAAACACCGCCTTCGAGACATTCCAGCATCCACATCTCAATACCAAATATCCACCACCACACACACCACCCACCGTCACCCCTAACCAAACTCTGCTCTAGTTGCGCCTACCCGCCGACGCACCCGCCTGTTTTCCCTGTGCTTTTCTCTCTGTCCCTCCCTGCTGGCGCACACTACCGTGCTGTGTCTTAGCATCTGCACGCATCCTATTAGTGAAAAAAAGGGTATCGTCTCCACACCCGCCCAGCAAAAAGCAGGCAAAAACGAGATCCCCATCCTGGTCCTGGGTCCCCTAGACTCAGAGCTCGATCCACTCCCTGCTGTTCTCGCCCGACATTTCCCAGCTCCTGTTTCTGTTTCTCATCCTCACGACCCATCCTCGCCATCCACCCTCGCCCTGGCCGCCCATCATACCTATTCCCACTTCTTCACCCGTCCTCATCCTCCCACCCCCCGTCTCATACCTCATCTCCTGTGTCTTCCATCCCCTCCCAAGGCCAGAGACCCTGACCACACCATCCTACTTTCCCCTCCAAACTCGATCCGCCACTCACCAGCATCCCTACTTCACCAAAACCGTCCCTCCTTGGCCTACCGTTGCTAGACTAGGAACCTGCGCTTGTGATCTCTGCATCTCCAGTGGCTCCCATCCGCAGTGTGTTCCCGCCTCTTCCAGTCGCAAAGATTACTATCCAACTTGTGGAAGAGAGCCTCGCTCAGCAGACTGCGACTAGACGCATAAGACTTGTGCATCCGGCTCGTGATGGCGACCAAAATGCCGTACAATACCCGTCGCAAATCGCTGTCCCTCCCGTCGCTGGGCATCCACGTTCCTGTAACCCATGCCTCCAGATCTGCCGCGCACCGGGCGTCTCCCAGCAATGCCGGCGCATCATCTCCCTCACATCCCTCTCCCGCCTCCTCGTCTGCACAACACCCCAACAAGAAGATAAAGCGATCCCACACCGACGAGTCGCGATCTCCTCCCCTGTCAAAGAAGCACCAGCCCTCGAGGACGGAGCCTACGCCTCCCGCATCGCCCACCGCCGACCACTCTTCCCTCGAGTCCGACGCCCCCCTTGCCAAGAAGATCGATCTCGAGGGAATCAACGACGAGATCGTCGAGGCTGTCATCGTACAACTGCAGAGCACTGGCAACAGGCCGCACCTGGTCAAGGAGCTCTCGGCTATCTTGATGCAGCAGCTCCGCATCGTGCAACAGTAAGCCCCTTTCCCATCCTCGCCTCTTGCGCTATGCGCAGGCACGGGCACTAACATGTTCTCTTCTCCAGGTCCGCAAATCCGTGCGCCATCATCTCTTCGCGGCTCGCAACCTACCTGAAGCGCTCGTGCTGGTCTGCGCTGTCTCCCTGCCCGCTCGCAAAGGAACTCGAGACGGTCCACCCGCGGCGCACCTACTTCTACCTCACCACCTGCCCTCACCAGCCTCTCCCCGATCCCTCCATGAGCCAGTTCATCTCCCGCGCCATCGTCACCCCGCCTCTCTCGAGCACCAACTCGACCTCTGAGGATGCCGAGGAGGAGAGGCGCCGCGAGCTCAGCCCTTCACCCGAGGTCGACCTGTCCTCGCCCGAGTTTGATGACATGGACGACGACATCCCCATGCCCTCGACGCCCATCGGCTCCTTCTCCGGTCGGTTTCCCAGACACGGCGGCGCAGCTGCCAGGAGCCAGAGGGGCGGCTCTCCGCCGCTCGAGAAGGACGAGAAGGAGTTCACCCAGACCGCCGAGGGCCTGCAGAAGAGGAAGCTGGGCAGCGACAAGCCCGCGGCCGAGACTCCGTACCACAGCATGGAGCTGGACGAGGGCGCCCGCGACGACAGCAACCTCTTTGGCGGCGAGACCAAGATGCTGTCGGCCGGCAGCCTGACCCACATGCCCGTCATCGCCAGCCCCGCCATGCGCCCTACCTTTACCTTCAGCGTCAGGAGAGACGACATGGACAGCTGGGCCAAGTTCGACAGCATGCTCGAGTGGGACAGGAGCCCCGAGAATGTCGAGCTGGAGGAGCTTGACGGGCTGTTGAACGGCTTCTAAAGAGGTCCTCGCCTTGCGCTGCGACGGAAAAGTCAACTCGCAGTGCAGCCTGCCCTGTGCGCCAGTGCCGGCTTATCATCCCCTTTACGCTTAATGATCGTTGAGACTTGCCAGAGTCAAGGGCGGTCGATGATGAACGATAGACTACTTTTTTTTTTTCCACCACTCCACATCACTCTTCATGTACAACTCTCTACTCGATCTTGGGGGCGCCTCGAATGCCTCTTGGAGCTTTGTCACGTATCGAGGTCTGAAAGATGGGCTCGGTCCTGCGACGGGAAAGACGGAAAGAAAAAGGAGGGAACACCAAAACTGGGGATACAAAAAAGGAAGAAAGAAAGATAGGAGACGCCGGCAGATCTCCCTTGTCAGATGAGCCAGGTCATGGTCTTGGCCTCTAATCTCGTCTGCTGTATTCATGTACATTACCTCGCTATGGGGGGACAGAAGAAAGAACCTAGAGCTACATACGCTTAGAGAGATGGGGGGTGGGGAGGCACTTTTGTGTGTCTGCGTGTATGTATTGGGCGTGGGGGGTGTTGTCGCATATGGGTTCGTTCAAGCCTTTTCCCTTTTGATGAAGGTTTTGTATTTAGAGATTTTTTTGGTGTTTCTCGGAACCTGGGGGATGATGGGGGTTTTTGGGGGCTCTTATTTTGGGAATACATGGAGCTCGAGGCGAAAATTCTGTTTTTTTCTTCTCTTTCTCCAAAAAGGCATGGCAACATTAGGCATTTAAAAATACAAGACTGGAAAGGCCTCGCAAAAGAGGCGAAGTATCTCCTATCAAAGACCAAGAAGTGCCGCAATGTTGTGCATGTCTTTGAGGATGATAGTGCTTCGACCCCTTGGATGTTGGTTTTCAGTCTTTCTTGAATTTCTCTTGGCTTGTATGAATGTGATGCTGTTGTACACGAGGTTGGTGATACACTTGCTGGAGAGCAATAATCTAGCAGAAAAGTATTTGGCCACAACATATCTAAAACACCGGCCACTTCACTTTCGGCCTCCTTCCCTCTCGAGACATCACTTTCCTCCCCCTGGCGCAGCAGCAGCAGCAGCAGCGCCACCACCACCACCACTGCTACTCCGCACCCTCAGCTCGATCCACAGCATCGTCCCGAACTGCAGGAAGCCGGGCCTCTCGACGGCGACGACCTCGAGCCCGGGCACCTCGGCCGCGGCGGCGCGCACGATCCCCTCGATGTCGCGGTTCCACCAGCAGCCGAACCGCTCGTGGTGCCGCCCCGCGTACCGGTCCAGCAGGCGGTTCACGGCGGCCCAGCGCCCGCGGCCGTGCTCGAGCAGCACGATGCGGCCCGTGTCGGGCTCGACGGCCGCCGCGAGCCGGGACAGGACTTGGGCCGGCCGGCCGACGGAGCAGAGGCCGAAGGTCTGGAGGACGGTGTCGTACTTGCGCGGCGGCTCCCGCGCCCCTGGATGACGCGAGCTGGTGCCCGTGGTACTGCTGTTGTTGTTGTTGTTGTCGAGCGTGGGTGGTGCCGGCAGCGGGAGCTGCGCGTCCGACTGGATCAGCCGCAGGCGGCCGCCGGCCGCGTTGGCGATCTCGACGACCTTGCCTGCGTCGTCGAGCGGGGTGCCCGTGCCCCAGGCGGAGCGGAAGCGCTTCTTGAGGGCCCTCTTCCCGCCCGGCACGGCGGCGCGCAGCTTGGAGCGCGCGACCTCGAGGACGTCGGGCGAGATGTCGACGCCCGTGAAGGAGGTGACCTCTGCCACAGCAACGTCCGAGGAGGAGGCCTTGAAGCCGGTCTTCTCGAGGCGGCGCAGCTTGCGCCTTCCTTCCTCCTGCAGAGCGGCGGCATCGCCGTCTTGGTCTGCGGCGGCGGCGGGGGAGGAGGAGGGGGAAGATGAGTCGGGGCTGGTGGCGGTGGTGTACGCCGCGACGTCGTCCCAGTCGTACAGCGCGAGGTTGCGGCCCGTGCCCACGGCGACCTCGAGGACGTGGCCCGAGGCGAGGCGCGCCATGCGGCGCCGCAGGCGGGTGATGCCCATGAGCCGCTCGGGCCAGTCGAGCGAGGCGTCGAACTGGGCCGCCGTGGCGCGGGTGAGCTCCTGCGGCGGGCGGCCGGTCGGGGTCGTCGTCGTCGCGGGTTCCTCTGCGGAGGCCGTGTGGCATGACGGGCACGAAGAGTCCTTGAGCAGCGTGGCGGCCAGGTAGCTCACGTACAGGCCCAGCAGGCCCGCGGCCAGGGCGGCGCCGACGAGGGGCAGGCGCCGCTGGGCGACGATGTCGGAGAGGGACTGCTTTTCTTCATCTTGTCCCTCCTTCGGGCCCGGAGGACGTTGTGGTGGTGGTGGTGAGGAAGTACCGGGGACGGAGGAGGGCTGAGGGGGGGAGGGTGACTTGCGGGCGATCACCCTCCGCGTAGTAGGCTTCTGTGCCGCTGCTGCTGCGGCCTTGGGTCTGGGGGCCGCGGCGGCCGCCGGGGAGGTGCGGTGGAGGGATCTGCCCCGGAGGCGGAGGCAGATGTTGAGCGCCGGGCCGCCGGGGAGCGCGGTGGCCGGGCGCCGGAGCAGTGCCAGGGGGCTGCCGGCGGTGCATAGCCTGGCCGGAGCCGCCATATTGCCTTTGCCTTGCCCTGCCTGACTAAGCTCAGCTAAGGAGCTTTGGATCCGCGGGGGCACGTGTGCGTGAGGTGATATTGTAAGTGTCACCTCATCTGCACAACAGAGACGACGCGAACGAGTGAATGTCCTTGACTCGTTGTCTGGCAACCCCCCTATTGGGAAGATGCAAAGCGAGTGAAGCAAAGCACCAGGCGGGCAGGCGGATTAAGGTTCGGCGGTAAGGTGCTTAGTTCCAAGACACGGATCTACAAGTTTGAACGCGATACACCTGTAGATCTTTAGAGTGGTGTGCAGCTCCAAGGAGGGGAGAGTATCAACGGCGGACTTGCCGGGTGGACTGACTCTGGGCATCAATTGGCCGGTCCGGTGCTGGGCCAAAAAAAAAGCATCAAGTCAATCCTTTGCTGGAGCTCTCACACTCTCACACACACGTCAGGCTATCTTCACGTGAGGATGCTGTAGTGCAGTGCCAGTTGCCGACATTGTGCATGGATGGAGTCCCCTTTTGCCTCCCACCTGCGTCAGTTTTTTTCTAGCGCTTCTACGACGGGCCACGAGTCAAGGCGCTGTGGGTGTGTGGGTCGAGTGCGCTAATATGCCGGACAAGAGATCTGGCGCGGCGGAAGCGGAACACAGAGAGAATGCCATTGTTTCTTACGCAGTCACTACGTCCTGTTATTGGAGAGCCGCAACTAACACGCGCACCCGCCATTGATTGGATGCAAGGCTCCACTCCAGACTTCGACGTCACCTCTTACCTTTTGCGTGCAGGTTGCCTATTCACGGGGAAGCAAAACAGGCAAGATCAGAACGGGCAACCTGGAGGATGTGCTGTTAGCATCTGAAAGAATCCGGACATTACTCAATAGCCACCCTCCACCCGTCCCCTTTTCTTCACCATCATCCCGCAACCATCTGCCAGTCCGGACAGAGTCCACGCCTGCTCCAGCCATGGCGACGCAGCAGGACCTGCAGGAGCTGCTCCGGCTCCTGACCGTGACCCGCAAGGTCCCCATGATGCAAGCCATGGCACACATCAAGGCCCTGCAAGGCGTAAACCTCCGAAGGTAAAGTCAAATTCTCTCTAGCTCCTACAACCCCCTCCCCCCCCGCAAAAAGAGTTCTCCGTCGCCGACAAGGGCCAGCATCAAACAGATAGCCGAGGCCCCACAGCCCGACGTCGAGTCGGCCATCAAGGACGCCAAGGCGGCCCGCGCGCTGCAAAACGCCTGCAAGGCGGCAGTCAAGCTCGGCGTCACTGGCGGTAAGCGCCCCGCCGCTGCCGGGGCCACGTCCGGGGCCGCCGCCAAGCGTGCAAAGCTTGGTGACGGGGACGGTGGGATGGGCGGACCCGCGCAGATGACGCCGCAGGAGCTGGAGCGCTCACTTGAGCTTCCGCTGTGCACCGACGAGGAGATGATTGCAGGTACCGTGCTGCAGACCAACAGAGCGCCCCTCGTGTTGGCGTTCGCGGTGGAGCTGCTCCGGTACACGATGCCGGAGCAGCCGTTGTCAAGCCGGCTCAGTCTCGCGCAGGCCGTCGTCAGTGCCAACTCGAGGAGTAAGGCCGTGAGCATAGGGATCGAGAAGGGGCCTAGTGCCGAGGAAGAAGGGTATGGCGAGGGCCAGCCGCGCGTCAGGGTCATGGGCCGAGAGGTCGCCGTATTGAAAAGGGGCGGGTACAAGTGGAAGGGGGACGAGGAGGTCGGAGAGGGTGCCGACCAAGCCAAGGAGACGCAAGAGACGAGTACAACGTCTGTCGTACTGGACACGCCGACACCGACGTGGTCCGTGAGCCAGCCCGTCACGCTCAAGTCGTCGACCTTTGTCGCCCGGGCCGCCGCCATCACGGACGCCAGCCAGAGGTCCAAGATGCTGGCCGACCTCATGGCCGCCAACCCCAAGCTCCAGACGGCCACGCACAACGCCTGGGCCTACCGCATCAAGCTGTACAGCGGCGCGTCCTTCATGCGCGAGGACTCGTTCGACGACGGCGAGGCGGGCTGCGGCGACCTGCTGCTGCGCGTCATGCGCGAGGTCAGCGCCGTCGACACCATCGTCGTGCTCACGCGGTGGTACGGCGGCATCATGCTGGGGCCCGACCGGTGGCGCCTGATGCGCGACTGCGCCACCGGCGCGCTGGCGGGCCGCCTGCGCAAGACGGGCGCCGAGGTCTCGCTGGGCGGCGAGGCCGTCTGGGGCCTGGATCTCGAGGCCGCGAGGAACAGGCCCTCTGGCATCGGCGGCGGCGGCGGCGGGTACGGGTCGTCTCGCAACGAGACGTCCGTCGTGGGGATGCACATCCACCGGCCCGAGGCGGCGAGGAGTTACCTGCTCAGGAGCTTCGCGTCAGCAACCCCCGAGCCTACTGCTGCTGCGCCCGCTGACGCTGGCGGTGGCGGTGGAGGTGATGGAGACGGCGGCGGTGCGAAGGCGAAGAAAGGCGCGACGCCCAAGAAGAAGACGCAGAAGGCGCTGGATGCGGAGAAGGAGGAGAACCTGGGCCTGCTGCTCGGCGCCATCAGGCTGGTGTTCGACAGCTGGGCGGATCATCTGGCCCCCGCGGATCTGGACCGCAGGGCGTGGAGCTGGTATACCGCCGTGCGGCCTGACGTCGACAGTGGCCCTTCGGGATGGGGCGCGAAGGGATCGCTGAAGCTGAAGACTATTCTGGACCTGCGGCGCAAAGAGGATTGAGGGTTGGGGAGTGACGTTGTATGATTATTGATCTATGGTGTGGGCAGCGGTAGGACGATTCGACGAAATATACCCATTTTACTGCCTACGTGCCTACGGCGTTGCGGCCTTCCGTTATTGGATTCCATGGTGCCTCAGTCGAGTGCTGCTCTATCATGTCTGGTCTTGTCGGGAATGTCAATATGGCTGCTGCATCCCCCGACATCCAAGGCAGACGCTCCACCTCTGCCTCCCCTTTCTATGGATGCTCGTAACGTGCTCGTCCTCCAACCATGGCCGCAAGATGGCCTGCCTGTGCAGCATAGCGCACGGGGCACGGTCGACAAAGCCATTACGAATGCAGAGTCGACAGGAACACGACGATGCCAACCCCCTAATTCGGCGAGGTTATCCCAGGGGCCACGAGTTCGAACCGAGTAGACGTTCTGGGTTTTTTCCACCAAAAATCTTTTTTGCTTGCTTCTCAGAGACGTCCACGGCTGCATCGGACTCTCTGCAGAACACGGCGGCGTCGCGCCCATTTGACCGAGCGAGGCATGCGAGGTCCGTCCTACTTAGATCCATCTGCTCTATCAGGGAGGATCGAATCGAATATATGGATGTCGGACGGCAGTTGAGGCCACTGACACGCCTGGTGTTGCTCGCGATAAAGGTAAGCAAGCAGTGTTCACCCCATCGCCTGTCTCCTCTGTACTGTACAGGCCGGCCGTCACCCTTATTATTTTTTGGCCCCTTTCCCTTTTATTTTCCGGTCTTCTCCCGCTCCTTCCCGTTCGTGATGTTATTCAGGACCATGATCTCTGCCACCTGCCTCAGAAGCTATGGCTCCTTCTTCCAGGGCAGATGCATGCCCACATCTTCATCGCTCTCCCAGCGGAGAAGAAAAAGGTAAAACTCGAGCATTGCCACCCACCCTTTCCTTGCCGGTACGTGCAGGCTGGCTGTCAATGGTGATGCTTTTTTTTTTTTTTTTTTTGCGCCGCTTCCCCTGAGCATCAAAGGTGGCTGGCTCCTGTACTTCGCAAAGCTAACCAACGTGCCTTGCGTGGTGACGCCCCCTGAAATGGTTCCCACTCGGAGAACTCGACGGATCTGCAGAGGTGCCGGCGTCAAGTCTCCCCCCCCGGCCAGTTGGAAGAAATGTTTCCTATCCAAACGTTTTTCGCACGAAGCCGAAGGAGCGAAGCTGCTTCGAGAGGTTTAGCACCCCCGGAATACACCACACCATGTCAGACAACAACATGTCGACAGCGAGAAGCAATCGCGACCACGCAATGGAACTCATGCGCTGTGCGCGAGACCTCTCGGTATGGAGATGCAACGGAGCAACAACTGCGGCCGATCGATCTACTTTACTCTCCATCCTCTCCTGCAGAGCAATAATAGACTTTCCAAATACATCGGCACGGCTCGATACGTGGCTGCAGGGTGGTGGTATGGCTTGTCCTGCGGTGCCCTGTGGTGGTGGTGATGACCGAGCTCGGCGGTCGCCTGCCCTTATAATCTAAAACAACTCGACATATCTCAACAACACACAGGATGGCCGACCTGTATAGCAGAGTGAGTTTGATTTAATTGACCATAAGCTAACCCGCTCACAGACCACCCTCTAACACGACAGCCTTCCCCTGTTCCCTGGTCCTTGCCCCCCGTAGTCCCCTTGTCCCATGACCCCAGTGATATGTGCCCAGCCAGCGAGCAGGAAAGAGCAAGAAAAATAAGAAAGAGAGAAGAGAGAAAAATAAGAAAGAGAGAAGAGAGAAAAATAAGAAAGAGAGAAGAGAGAAAAATAAGAAAGAGAGAGAGAGAGAAAAGAAGAAGAAAGAACAAGTAAGTTTAACACCCCCCTCCTCTCACTACTATACAGGTTGGCCGCCTACAATTTTTTTTTTTTGACCTATCTCCCTTAAAGTATCCTAGATCTTTCTATAAATATACATATGCTCCCGCTCTCTTCCCTACAACCGGCATATAGAAACAAGTACAATAATTATCTGCAGCCTTCCCTGAAACCCTGGCGTATGGGCAGGCTACCTGTTGTATATTCTTTTCTTGTGTTCCACCTCTATTTTTGTTTGGCCGTCCTGACCGGAACTCCTAGGGTGTTTGGTTCCTTCTTATGCTTGTCTGCAATAGACTCCTCGACCTGATATATCTCATCGAACCTGGTGTGCGAAAGGGTGTTAGCTGTGCTCCCGCGCGATAAGAATTCCCCCAGCGAGATCTCTCTGCTTTTGCTTACCCCTGCTCCCCGACAATCATCTTGGTGTACACCTCCATCTCCTCCAACTGCGCAGCACACCCAGTGAGACTCTCGTTGTACGAGTAGCTGTAGATCTGCAGCCACTTCCTCCTCTCGTCGTCGCCTTCGTCCCCGGCCGCGTCAGACCCGAGCTCCTTCTCCATCTCGACCATACGGTCGAGGAGACGTTGGCGTGCTGCTGCTGCGCTCGGGAGATATCGCTATTGTTGAGCGCGGCCAGAGCATGGTTAGCGAATGCTCTCCATCCAAGGCTGTAGAAGGCCAGGCCAGTAGGAAAGGGGCAAGTGGAGAAGCTTACAGGCACTCTAGTCCTCTGCCGAAGCGCACCGGCGAGGATATAAAAGTTGGTGAGGACAGTGGCCACCGCATCGCGCCTATAGCTCAGGAGGCTCTCGGCCGCGCGATCGTGCCGACCGCCCATGAATCGCGGGTGGAAGAAGAGGGCCGCCTGGCGGAGGGAGACGAGATGCTCGAAGAAGCTCTCTGCCGAGTCGGTGAGGAGAGCGTAAGGGCGGACATCGAAGGGGCCGCGGAGGCGGATCTCGTGGCGGGTGAGGAGCTAGATGGAAAGAACTTGTGTCAGGGAGGGGAACACTAGAGCGAGCCGGATAAGGGGCCTTGTGTCTTACCATGAGTTGCCTGATCCTCACGAAGCCTTCGCGGATTCTTCCTTCCAGTATTTCGGAGCGCACCACATCGGCTGGCTGCGGTTCGTCACCGGTCTCATAGTATACATATTTGCCGAGAATATCTGTTGGTGTCGTTAGAACATGCAGTCTGAGTGCGGACTCAGAGGAGTGGGGGGACCATGGTATACTTCGGTAGACAATGCTGATGAAAAACAGCATCATGGCCGACGCCTTTCTTAGCTCATGCCTCCCTACAAACGGCCAGAGCAGCCAGTTCACGAGGGCCGCTGTCATCACCCCAACGACAATGGCCGCCCCTCGGGTGGCAGCGATGACAGCCGTGGAATCCTGGCCCTCGGCAGTGACAAGACCCAGTGAGACGATGGTAAAGGAGTGACAGCCGATCAGGCCGGACCTCTGGACGACTTTATCAGCATCGTGCCTCACTAGGAGCCGCTGGTACCACTTACTGGATGAGTGCTCTGTGTGAAGCGGTAGAGCATGGGCGGGTAGTAGATGGCCGCAAATACCGCCATGACATAGGGACTGCCGCCTCCCGCGGCATATGCGAAGCCGCTCCAGACCGCACCCAGAACACCTACCCCGGAGCGCACAAGGAGATCAGTGAGGTTGGGCCCGACCCTGAGAACATGTTAACCCGGCTATCGTTGTTCCTTAACTTGGGATCGCCATACCTGGGATGCATCATGACCCAAGCGATAATGACTGCCCACCACGACTGGTAATAATTCCACCATCCTCTGCTCTGAGAGAGCCAAGCAGGTATGGAAAGCAGCGAGGTGGCCATCACTGTTTTGAGAGCATATCTCGTCCCGAAGCCCTGTAGACGGTGCAGCACACGCCAGGCGTCGTTGGCAACCCCAACATTCCCCTGGGAATCAGGTGGCGTGTTCATAGCCGCGGCTGTGGTACCTGGGTCGAGTCTAGTCTCCATTCTCCTCAGATACTCAGACTCGTGTTCTCGTGAGACAGGATCGTGTTGGCGAGCTTTGATTTCCTCTATCAGTGCAGAAATCTGGTCAAAGGCTTTGTAGTATGAGCCTGACGTCCGTCAGCCCGGGTTAGCACTATTGTGAGAGAAGGTCCGGGGCCCGCCAAATACTTACCGGCAGTAACACCTCCACGATCATGTCGCACCTGCTGATTCAAGCGATCTACCGCTTTATGCAGGGGATACGACGGCAGATGGAAGCGAGGATGGGTGGGAGCCGTCCGCTGCAGCTCACGCACCTTGGTCGCCATGGCGTCTATGGCTTCGGCGGCTTGTCGAATGGGCCGGCAGTAAGCAAGAACTCTCACGACTTCGGATCTCGCGGCAAAACCAGACTGCTGCTCCGTCTTCCTGAGCACATCAGCCTCCACGGCATCAAAGATGATCATCTGCCGGCGTAGCTGGCCGATGTGCGCTTCGACATTCGCCGACACTTCGGCTGGGGGGCCGATCTGTTTTCGGAACCCCGATAGATCCATCAGGGCAGCCGCGCAGGCCTGCGTTGAAGCTTGCATAGACCGGATCAACTCGGCGACGGGAGGGGTAAGGAGATCATAAGCCAGATCTTCAGCTGCGTCAGAGTTGTACGGGGCAGTATTATTATTCCCGTCCTCATCGACCAGTCTGTGGTGCAAGGGTGTCGGCTCAATGGCTAGGAGCGCCCTGATCACGGCCTGCAGCACATTCCGAAGAGCCTTGGCCTCATCTGGTTGGAAGCGTGTGATGCTGATATCAAGTGTCAGGTCTCGATAAGCTTGAGATAGGTTGACAAATGTCCTTGTCAGGCGTCTGCGAGTGTTAGATCTGTCGGGCGCCAGCAGAACGAGCCCTTCCTGTGCGCCAGTTAGCGTTGGTCAATGGATGTTCCAAGAGCTTCGAATAGGTTGCTGACCATCATAGCGTCAAGAGCGTCGTGAAGAGACGTAGCATATGATCTTGCTCCGGTATCAGGAAAGATAGTCACGCCAATAATAAGACAAAGTGCCTGGCCAAAGACCCAAGGTATTCCGAACTCCCACAACTTCCTCCATCTGACCTCGTCATCGGAGGCATCCGAAAGACAGGTATAAAAGACCGCGATACCCGCGCACAATACGCATTGGAAGAAACGGACGTAATGAGACCGTACACTCGCAATCACGGCAAGGAACAGGCACTGGAACACTGCCACGATGGCACCGTACCCTTTCTGCGAGGCCGCACTTGAGACAGACACCTCCAAAGCAAGCGAGCCCCATGCTAGTCCCAACGCCGTGCCAAAGATAGTGAGAACGGTACCGTCAATCTGAGCGCCGATTGTCCGTCCCGGGTGGTTGATCACGGCTGAAATGACGATGACATAGTTGTACTTCCCGAGCCAATGTCGCACAGCAGGCACGAGGCACAGTATATAGGCCGTGAAGACGGCCAGAAAAGACTTGAGCAGCGCAATTCCAGAACCCGAAGTTCTCAAGCGGGCCATGGCATGTCTGATCTCGAGCCATCGTCTGGGAAAGAAATCCCCCAGAGGCAGGCGCTTGTGCCGGCGCAATGCCTTTGGCAAGATCTTGTCCGCATGGTAGAGCAGGTCTTCTTGCTCGACAGGGCGCGGATTGAAGAATAAAGCATCAAAGAAGCCGTCCCGGAACTCGGTGACGCCATAAGAGTTGAGATACTGATGCTCTTCCTCGGGGATGTTCGCTGCTGGTCGGGCAGGATCCCATGATTCAGCCAGGGAGTCTGCCCTTTGGGGACGAGTGCCTCGTCGAGGACGCCTTTGATGTAAGCTATGCATCTCTGAAGACGGCTGGATGTCCATCGTCCCAAGTCTCGAATGCGACTGGTCGAGTTCTGGGTCTGAAGTCATGGCCTCGAGTCTGGTCCTAAATCGCAAGATGCCATCCCGGCCATGTCCTCTTTCTCGGAATCCATAGCGAGCCCTAGATAATCATCTCGTCGGCGAGGCTAGAGGGAGCCTAGTGTTCTTCCTTCAGCAAGGTTTCCCGGAACCCTCGATACATAAAGATTGATTGGTCTTGCTTGATCTTGTATCAACACAGACTGGTGTTGTTTTCTTTCCCAAACTTTACTATCATTTATTAGCGCCATGGTGCAAATGACAAGAGGCAGGTACCCACTGGAAGCCTTCTATCCCGGGTGGAGATGCACTAATAAAAATGGCAGCTGCACACCACCTAGCACCTGCAGTGAGTGTGGTCTGCATTTGTCTCTGAAGACTCTACAATTCAGAAGGGTTGGGTTGGATTTTGGCTTGAATCCGGCTGACCAAAACTTTTCATTAATCAAGCACTACTGTTGGTAAAGAAAGAGCAATTGCTTTCACAAGCACAGGTGGCCACGAGAAAAGCTCCAGCAATGTTCATGGAAAGAGACAGGACATCATGATCTACAATGTAGTAGACAACGGTGGCACTGTAGCCGCTGGCATGTCAGTTTGACTGAGCAGATTTGGCTCAGAGGCCCGGAACGCGAGATGAGCACAGTCGACTTTGCACATCTCAACTTGTTCAACAAAGTCAATTGCTAGATGAGGACATCCTGCTGCAACAAGTGCATGATAGCAGATGCATAAAACAGGCTCAAAAGGAGTGATTAGACGCGGTCAGGCTTGATATTGGACATGATCGCCCATTGAAAGCGCACTTGGACATCTTGGGTGTTGCCTGTTCGGGACTAGGCAGAGCCGATCCGTGTGCAGCCCATGAGACTGACATCCTCATGATCGAGAGTTTGGCGTCGGAGGAATGGAAAGGTCCAAAGGATGTTGTCGATGCAGTGAGGGGTAATATAAAGAAATCATTTGAACCATTTGACAAGGTAGACATATCCAGTACTCAAATACAAAACAAGAACAAAAACCAGCGAAAAGTCTGACGATTTGAATTGTTTGCATCCTGCCAAGGTAAATGCTGGGAGGCAATACACGTGATCTTGCACGCCTCACGTGAACGGACGTCTCCACCGGGCGATTCCGGCTACCTTTGCCCGATTTTGTAGCTGGAGCCAGCAAAAGAGTCAACCCTCAAATCAAGCCAACGCCAAAAACAACCCCCATCTCCACTCACAACCTCCCTCCTACTCCGGTCTGCCCTCCCAGTCACTGCCAGACCGCAACCCCCTCCATCGCCCTCTGGCACGACTCCCCCCTACTCGACGACTACATATACAAACAAGCAAGGCCCGAACTCAGTCAATCGACCCAAGCACCGCCTTGCCGAAATGCCTCAGATCCGACCGACCGGCGCTGCCCTGCGCGCGGTCACCACCCGCCGCTCCGCCGGTGCCGCCGCCCTCCAGCGCAGCCCTTTCTCCAGCACCTCGCACAAGGCCGCCTCCCACGGCTCCCAGTACGACCCCCCGACCGGCTGGCTGTTTGGCGTCAAGCCCGGCGAGAAGTACAAGAACGAGGGATGGGAGAAGCCCTTCTTCTGGGGCTTCTGCGGCAGCCTGATCGTCTTTGCCCTGGCGTGGCCCTTCAAGCCCGATACTTCGTGAGTATCCCTCTACTTCCCGGCGGGCCCGAGCCTGTCTCGGGACTGCAGCGATTGGGGTGCTGCAGATGGCAAAGTAGCCCTTGGCTGACTGATTGATGATAACAGCATACAAACCTGGGCTCTCGAGGAGGCGAGGAGGAGATTAGAAGCCGAGGGTATCCTGGAGGACCCGCAGAAGAAGCAATAAAGGCCTAGATCACTCATCAGGTTCTTTGCGGGGAGGGAAAGTGACCCATGGTGGAAGGGGATCCGGTGCTGCTGCATGCTTGTGTATATCTCTCTCTTTTGTTTCTGTCGGACCTGCAAAGGCGGGAGTCTTCCACTAAGGAACATACCGGTTTAGAGTTGGCATCATAGACGGTCGAATCCGTCGACTCGACAAGACTATCATATTACATTGACTCGCGAATTCTTCAAGCTACTCCGCAAGGCTCTTTGTTCTTGTGCACGAGTTTATCATGTCATTTGTGCCCTCTTACGAGGTTCTGAAATCTAACTTCTAGATGCGGACTGCAACGCATCATCAGCAATTCAAGAAGAAAAAAATTGCTATTTTGTTTAACACAAGCCCGCCAGGTCTATCTCAAATCCTCTTCCTTATCTAGCACTTGTAACTCCACTCATGCTCAATGTCACCGTACTGGATCTCCTCGATCCAGTTCTTCATCTTGGACGCAATCTCGCCAGACTCCTCGTGCTCGTGCAGACCGCACTGCACGTTCTCGCCCTTCCAGTGGATGCTCCTCACGGGCGAGACGATGGCGGCGGTGCCGGCGCCAAAGGCCTCGATGAGCCTGCCCTCGTGCGAGGCGTCGTAGAGCTCCTGCATCGTGTACTTGCGCTCGACGACCTCCCAGCCCTCGGGGGCGAGGCGCTCGCGGGCGAGGGCCAGGACCGAGTCCCGGGTGACGCCCTCGAGGATAGTGCCGTCGAGCGGCGCCGTGACGAGCTGCTTCTTGCCGGAGCGCTTGTCGACCATGGCGACGAACATGTTCATGGTGCCGACCTCGGTGACGTAGCCCTCCTCGCCGAAGAGCCACAGGTTCTGCTGGAAGCCGCGGCTCATGGCCTCGCGCTGGGGCACGATGCAGGGCGCGTAGTTGGCGCCGAGCTTCTTGTCGCCGACGCCGCCGGGCCAGGCGCGCACGGCGTAGTCGGTGGCCTCGAGCGTGATGGCCTTGAAGCCGGTCGGGTAGTAAGGGCCGACGGGGGAGGCGATGACGAAGAGCAGGGCCGAGCCGGGGGCGCCGACGCCGAGCGTCTTCTGCGTGCCGATCATGGTGGGCCGCAGGTAGAGCGAGTAGCCCTTCTGGTCCGGGATGAAGCGCGACTCGAGCTTGGCGAACTGCGAGATGAGGTCGATGACGGCCGGGGCGCCGAAGCTGGGCAGCGCGATGCGCGTGGCTGACTTGTTGAGGCGCTCCATGTTCTTGTCCGGGCGGAAGAGCCGGACCTGGCCCGACTTGTCCTTGTAGGCCTTCATGCCCTCGAAGCACTCGAAGGCGTAGTGGAACACGCACGACGCCGGGTCCAGAGAGAGGTTCTGGTAGGGGGAGATCTTGGGCGCCGCCCAGCCGTTGTCCTTGTCCCACTCGACGGTGAGCATGTGGTCTGGAAGAAGGCCCGAGTTAGCTATTTGTCTGAAAAGCATATGCAGCTGAGTATTGGAGTTTTACCTGTGAAGGTCTGGCCGAAGACGAGCTCCTCAGGCTTGCGGAGTGCGCCGGGCTTGGTGGTCTTGGTGATGGAGAGGTGCTTGGGCTCGATATCGAGCTGGATGGTAGACGAGGCAGCACCAGCGCCAATGCTGTACTGCCTGGCATTTTGCCTCAATCCGAGTAGTAACCTGGAGGTCCGGGCAGCCTGTGAAGCGCCGCAGCGCGGCAGAAGGGGACGAAACATGTTGTCCCTGTTGTGAAGGAGGGCGAGAGATAGAGAGAGATGCCTTTGTTTTCACCGAGAAATTTTTGGTATTACTAGCCAGAAGGGAAAAAAATCCGCTGTAGGAGAGTACGCAAAAAGCTCAACACCAATTGATGACAAGACACTGAGTTTCACACACAACAAGACGGCCAATCCAGCAGAGCGGTCTACGGCGGGAGGACAAGGGCTTGAAATAGGGCGCGCGGCGTGGGCGTGGGAGTCACAGACGGAGGTGAAGCTGCTGCGCGGGAGCTGGGGGAGAATCCTCTCGGAGCAGAATCGGAGTCGAGACGCTTCCCCAGTTTTGCAGGGTCCCGGCAATTGAGCCAATGAGCGGCGAGGCATAGACCTGGACCAAGCCCATTCGCCGGCCAGTCTCGCTTACACTCGCTCTGCGACGGCCACGCGGACCCTTTGGCGTGGCAGCTCAGGCCAGCTGGCGAGCCCGGTCACCGCAGCTGGGGGATTCGTTATCAAATTGACCCTTGTCGTAATGAGCTTATCAACCAGATAACTAACTGACTGGCCTAAGAAAGTTGGCTCCTGAACCAGCTTGGTTGGAGCTCACGATGCAAGCTGTCGCTCTGCTTTTTGGACAGTTTCGACTTTGAGCACGCACGCGATGGTTCAGGTGAACGAACAGATCCAACGCACTGCATGAGCACGAGTTCTTGCGCATAAACCCCGAAAACCCCGCTTTCCAAACAAGTCCTCCTAAGCTCGACCAGGCGAATTCGATCACCGCTGCGACCGAACCGAAGACCAGCGCATTCTTTTGATGATAGTCTCATAACGGATATGCAGGTCGGACAGCCGGTCCTTCCCGCCAGCGACCATGTTCTCCTCAAGGTGGTCGTCCAACATCAACAGCAACTATGAGGTCTCCAAGACATCCACATCAAGTGCCGGGCCCTGGAACATATACGATGCAAAGAAAAAGTCCACCGGCAAGGCCTACTCGGTCTTCATTTTCGAGAGGAAGTCGCTGGACCAGCATGCCGGCTCCATGAGCCGGTCGAGTGCCTCCGCCTTCAAGCGAGTGTGTGACGAGGTTGTCGACCGCTTGAAGAGGGAGGCATCCGCCCTGGCGAAGCTCCGCCATCCGAGCGTACTAGAACTGGTCGAGCCGGTCGAAGATACCAGAGGTGGTGGACTTCAATTCGTGACAGAGGCCGTGACCACCTCGCTGGCTAGCGTGCTCCAAGAAAAGGATGACCAGGAGAGGTCCGGCGGGGTGGGAGGCCGCTCGAGTCGCTATGTCACGGAGGACTCAGAGGGCAACCGGAGAAGACGGGAGCTCGAGATTGACGAGCTGGAGATCCAAAAGGGACTTCTGCAACTGAGCAAAGCTCTAGAATTCCTCCATGAGAATGCCGGGCTGGTCCACGGCAACCTCACGCCCGATGCCATTCTCATCAATGCTAAGGCACGTCGAGTTGCATCAGTTTACGTTGCTGAATAAGTGTCATACTGACCTCTCTACAGTCCGACTGGAAAATCAGCGGCTTGTCTTTCTGCAGCCCCCCTGATCATTCCTCAAAAGCGACGTCTTTCCAGCCGGTTAGTCTTGGCGAAGTTCTCAACTTGGATGCACGCCTGCCACGTTTTGTGCAGCTGAATCTCGACTATACGTCCCCTGACTTTGTCATGGACAACAATCTCACTACATCAGCCGACATGTTCTCGCTAGGGCTGGTGTGCATCGCACTCTATAATTCTCCCCATCGATCTCCATTGGAGTGCAATTCCAGCATATCCGCCTACAAGAGACTGTTCAACTCATCTTCTACAATCCCTTCACAGAGCAACAGTTTTCTTTGCAGTCGGCCGCTACCACGAGATCTGGCAAACTATGTACTTCCAAGGCTCATCACGAGAAGGCCAGCTCAGCGAATGACAGCCAAGGAGTTTCAGATGAGCGAGTATTTCAATGGCATTTTGATATCAACGATCCGGTTCCTCGATACCTTCCCTGCCAAGACGCCCGGTGAGAAGAAATCTTTCTTGCGGGGCTTGACTCGTGTTTTGGAAGAGTTCCCCAAGTCAGTCATGGAGAAGAAGGTCTTACCGGGCCTTCTCGACGAGATGAAGGACAAGGAGCTGTGGGCGCCGATATTGAAAAACGTTTTCACCATAATTAGGCTACTCCCTTCAGGCAAGCGTGCATTCACTGATAAGGTCAGACCGGTGCTCAAGGAGCATTTTGTCACCAATGCCAAGCAAACGCAGGAGAAGGATAACGACAGAGACGCCGGCTTGATGGTCGTGCTGGAGCACCTTGCCACTATTGCCGACAGCTCATCAGGCAAGGACTTCAAGGATGGTATGTCCAAATTCCTAAGGCCTCCCCTTTGTGCAACTACTAATGCCACTTAGACATTCTACCCATCATCGGAGCAGCGCTGGAGTCGCCCACGCCAGCCGTTGTCGATGCGGCGCTTCGAAGTCTGCCCGTCGTACTCCCGGTTTTGGACTTCAGCACCATCAAGAACGATCTGTTCCCAGTGATAGCAACCATCTTTAGCAAAACAAATAGCCTCGCCATCAAAGTGCGAGGCTTGCAAGCGTTCGCCATCCTGTGCGGCGGATCCGAGGACCCCGCCGCGGAGGATGGCCTCAGCGGTCTCGCGCCGGAGAAGAAGAAGACGTCCTCGTCGAGCGCGCTAGACAAATATACCATGCAGGAGAAGATCGTGCCGCTGATCAAGGCCATCAAGACGAAGGAGCCCGCAGTCATGATGGCGGCACTCAATGCATTGCGCGTAGTAGGCGAGACTGCGGATGCGGACTTTGTCGCCATGGACATCCTCCCCGTCCTCTGGTCGATGAGTCTCGGTCCTCTGCTGGAGCTGAAGCAGTTCCAGAGCTTCATGGACCTCATCAAGCACTTGTCGAGGAGAGTGGAGGATGAGCAGACGAAGAAGCTGCAGGAGACTTCCATCGCAAACAACGGCGTGTCTGCTGCGGCGCCCAACGACGATATGCTGTCGTTCGGCGGGCTGACAGGAACGCAGTTTGACGCCACGAACGGCGCCGGAGACGACGACTTCGAGCGCCTGGTCAAGGGCTCGGCGGCAGCCGGCTCGTCGTCAGCGAACCCCATGGACAGCAGCTGGGACAGCATGCCCACTGCCCGCGTCGCATCCCCGGGCATCAGGGCTGCCGCTCAGGCCAGCGAGCCGAGGTTCTCCTGGTCCAGCCAGCCCACGAGCCCCGCGCCCGCCTCCGCCAGCGCCTTCGGCAAGCCCGCCGGCGCCCCGCCGGGCTTCCGGACCGTCACCCCGGACCTCGCGGGCATCGCCTCCCTCACGCCGTCCACGACGCAGTTCTCCCAGCCCCTGCAGCCGACGGCGAACACGACGTCGACGACGACGACGGCAACGGCCTTCTCCCCGCCGCCCGCGCAGCAGAGCTCCTCCGCCAGCCCCTGGGCCACGACGAACTCGTCCGCGCCCATGGGCGGCGGCGGCGGTCTGAACTCGTCCATGGGCGCCATGGGGCTGGCGGACCAGCAGAAGAGGCCTGCGCCCCTGGCGGCCGCCCAGCCGCAGAAGCCGTCGTACTCGCTCGCTCCTCCGCCGGGGGCCGGGGCGACGACCATGAGCACTGCCACCACCACCACCGGGACTTTCGGGGGAGGCGGCGGCGGCGGGTTCAGTCTCGCCCCCCCGCCTGCACAGCAGCAGCAGCAACCCAACTACGGGCGGCCGGGCATACCGTCTACCGGCAGCACGGGGTCTATGGGGTCTGCTTATGGGCGGGGCCTGGCCTCTGGCGCGAGCGCGGTGGGTGGCGCGTCTGGTATGGGGATGGGGACGGGGACGGGCATGGGCATGGGCATGGGTATAGGTATGGGCATGAGTGGGAGCGGGATGGGTGGTGGCAGTGGCATGGGGAGTTTGATGCAGCAGCAGCAGCAGCAACAACAACACCAGGCTCAGCCGCAGCAGGGAGCCAAGTCTGGGCTGGCCAAGTATGAGAGTCTGCTATAAGCGTGAATCATCTTCAAATCGGGGGGGGCCGGTAGATTAGTAGATATCGGGCACATTGTAGAATGGGGTTAGTGACGAGGAGCGGTAATACCTTTTTGAGAGTGAATGCAAGAGCGATGATTATCCGCTTTGTGTGGATGATTCTGGCCATTAAACGGAAGTCTTCTCGAGTTGAAAGTTCTGGATAGGTTGCCGATATCGTGTTCTTCGGGACCGTAGTAGTTTTCTCCGGTAATTCACGTCGTTCTTTGTGGCTCCAAGCACCCTCTTTGTCCACATACATGGTCTACGAATCGAGTCTTTCCAAGTCATCTGCTCGGCTCTATTCTATTTTGCTCATCGATTGTCTGCTTTGCTTGGTTTTCTCTTTCCCATCTTTCTTTTCTCTCTACGCTCCCCAACTAACACTGTTGCCTTCTATGCACTTATGTTGGTGAAAAAGAAAGAAACGAGACCCAATCCTCGTGACGTAGTTCCAGGTCTTCTCGCTTCTGTGTAGACATCGTGACCACCAGACAAACACATCAAATGCACACACATGCATCAGTACAGCACACAGGCAACTTGCTTCTGCCGTCCAGGTATGAGCATTTGGTGCCGTTCTCCCAACGGAGTTCTACTACGTATCGACAACCTCCGAAATACTCCGGGGGGGCAAGAATGGATTCAGTCTCCGAGTACCTGGATGGCACCCGTCCAGTCCAGTCTGGCCTGCAGGACTCGCCATGCTCTCTCTCGCATGTGGTCGGTTCCCGCAGCAAAGGAGGAACCACAGTCATCCCCTCATCATATGATTTTCATTCCGGTCAACGTCAAATCACGACGGTAAGCGAAACCCCGTGTTTTCTCCGTGGTTATATCCACTCGAATCAATCAGCCCACACACTAACACCCGCACACAAACACACACAAACAGGATCCGAAAACCATACAAATCAATTCTCTTCCAGCTGCTAGTCTTTACTCTTGGGCTGGCTGCGGACCTCGGTCTAAGCTAAGTTACCTAAACCCCATCCCCAACCCCCATCCAGGCGAAACGGGGTGAACCGAGCCGGACCGGCCTTCTTTGTCTTTCTACTCGAACGCCTGAGACTCCGTGCTCAAACACATAAAAAAAAACACACACACAACAATCAACAAACAAAAAGAATGTAGGTGGGCAGTCCACCTTGCTGTGTCCTCCCAACATCGTGTCCGGGTTTCTGATCACGGGCTGTCCGTCGTCGTAGTTGTCGTACCAAAAATCTAACAGTACTTGCAAAGGATAGCACAGCCTAGACGTTTTTTTTTTAAAAAAAAATCTAGGCCTTGGACGGACATCCCCGTGTCGCTGAATTTTATGACTTCCTCCTCTAAATCGCCTTCGTTTCGGTCATGATCCTCGCTGCCGTATTAGTGGTGATTGGGCGGGGTAACCCTCACGCTATCACCTTGTGCGACCCTCCCAAAAAGTAAAAAAGACGTAACCGGGTAGACCCTAAGTAGGGAAGGATGTGTATGGCCGCCAGGTGCAAACAGTCATATCAGCTCTTCCGTTGCTGACTGTTGGACCAAACGCACCCGAGTCTCTCCCGAAGAAGACGGCCCGCTCGTGCAAAAAAGGCAGTCCGCTCAGTTCTGCGACGGCGCCTCCTTCTTCACCACCGCGGCCTCGGGCTTCGCCGTGACATCGGTAAACATCCACCGGCTCTTGTACCCCTGCTGGAGCTCGACGTCGACCTCCTGGTTGGGCGGCACCATCTCGTGCCTGAGGTCCCACCCGGCCCTCCGGCACAGCTCCGAGACGACGACGTCGCAGTCGCCCAGCATGTCGATGTCAAAGTTGACGTGGCCGACGGGCGTGCGCGAGATGTAGATCTGCGGGATGTGCGGCGGCAGGTAGGGGACGACCTCGGAGACGGGCGCCACCTTGAGCGAGGTGCCGATGACGATGACGAGGTCGACCAGCTCCTTGTCGTGCTCCGTCAGCCGCCGCGAGAACTCGTCGGGCAGGGGCTCGCCGAAGAAGGTGATGTCGGGCTTCATGACGCCGCCGTTGCTGGGCAGGTCGTACTCGCTGTCCGAGGCGCTGTCGTAGTCTCCCGGCCGCCTGCGGACCTTCTTCTCCGTGCCGTCGCGGGCGAGCTTGCGCTTGCGGCTGTTGGCCGTCGTGCGCTCCTTGGGGGCGCACTTGGGACACCGCGGGATCTTGCCCGCCTTGATGATGGGGAAGATGCTCTCGCCGTCGACCTGGTAGCCGCACATGACGCACGAGGCCGTCGCGAACGAGCCGTGGCACTGCACGAGCTTGTCAGGCTTGATACCCGCCTTGGCCTCGAGGTTATCGATGTTTTGCGAATAGTTGGTCAGAAGCTTGCCCTTCTGCTGCAGCATGGCGATGAATGCGTGCGTGGGCGAATACCTGTCCTGGTCCGGCAAAATGTCCTTGGCCACCGAGTAGAAGATGGTGGGGTCGTCACGGAAGACGGAAATGTCAAAGACTTCTTGGGGGTCGCTCAGGCCCAGATGCTCGAGTTTAGAGTAGAGACCGGTACCCTTGGAGCGGAAGTCGGGAATGCCCAGCGAAGTCGAGATGCCAGCGCCCGTCAGGACGATGATGTTTTTGGATGTCTGGAGCAGGTGGACCGCGTCTTCAATCGTGTTGAACTTGGAGAGCTTGGCCCGTTTCGAGAGCTCGCGGCTCATGGCCAGGCTCAACAAGCTGAAATAGGCGTCGTCATCCTCGCCCTCGAGGAAGGCCGGCGGCCGTATGCCAAAGGCAGTCAGCAACTTCTTGGCCGTGATGGTACCCGAGTCAACGGTCCGCCTGCAGAACTCCTCGGGTCCTATTGCCCGCAGCAGGTGACGGAAATGAACAGCCTCATCAGGCGTGCATGCGCCAGGGACTGTCGGGATTTTGTCAGCAAACACTGCACCATGTAGTCGAAAACTAGGGGTGAAAAAAAAAAGAGAGAAAGGGCATCAGTTCAAAGCAACAATTAGCGCACTGCCTGACCTGACAGTGGCATTGCAAAAATTGACAAGGAAAAGCAGTGAAGCACAGAAATGACAACAACAGCGTACATGACTTTCAAGCATGTCCGAGCGCAAATTGCAGACTTGGTAAATCAAGAAACTCACTATCTGTGAAGAATTTGTCCTCAGCCAAGTCGTCGAGGGCGTCCTCGAACAATGACTCTGTCTCCCACGACTCGCCTAGATCATTGACTCTCTCCTCGAGCTCATTGAGGGCGCCATGCACAACGCCATGTTTGATGTCGTTTCGGATATCATCCATGTGCTTCTTTTCGTCAAAATCAACCAGATCCTTGACACGCGCGCTGGCCTTTTTGGCGGCGACGGCGGCGGTGGTGTTGCCGTTGGTGTTGCCGTTGCTCCTGTTGGGGCCACCGTTTCGAATGGCCACTCCGTTTGATTTTTTGAAGTCGGCCATCTCTGGCCAGACTTGCGTCACGGTCCCTTACGCCGGTTAGAGAGAAATAAAAGGCTTTGATCTTGTTTTCTCTGATGGAAACTCGGTGCCGAATGCGAAATACTGGTGTCAAAAGTTGCAAGAGGTTTTCTTTGCAACTCCAGACCTGTTTGAAACGCGTCAGGCGGGTGTTGTTGACGGGAACACAAGTGGTGGGGGGCGGGAAGATAAGTTTGCTAGATCTGCAACGTGAAGGGGGGGAGAAGAGAAGAGGACAAGCCTAGGTGAAGAAGGTGTGGGAAATGGGGAGCGGGCCGAGGGAGGATATATGTGTCAACGACTATCGCAGCAAAAGGGAGATGTCTGACGATGGGGCAACTCAGTGGTGTTAACTCAGGCAAGAATGATTAGGAGGAATACGGCGAGGAGGGAAAAAAAAGTACATGCGCAGGCAACAGGTAATTGAGTGACTGGAGAGTGAGGGAGTGATGAAGAGATTTGTGCGATGCACAGTCTCGATAAAGGTGCGACTCAAGGGAGCGATGTTTATACTTTCGCTACCTAGGTATCCTGTTGCTGATGGGCGTGCGTGCGATAGGAGCTATGGGGAAAGTCAGGTGTTGGTGGTGTTGATAGGAAATGAAATGGGAAGAGAAGAGACGAGGATCAAGGAGATAATAGAGACATACCTTTTTAGGTTGGCAGTTGTCGAGAGGGCCAGAAACGGCAGAGGGGAGTGCAAGGACTGGCTGGGCTGGACGGACTGCACTCGGGACTCGAGGAGGAGGCAAGGCAAGCAGCAACTCTGGGCCCGGCCTGGAACATGTGTCAAATGGGCCTCGAGTATTAGTGCAAAACTGGCAAGAAAGTCTCTTGTCTGTCTTTGCCTCGATGCTGGCCGATCGGTCTGCCTTTTGTTGCAGGAACGCCTTGTCGGTTTTTGCGATAGGGAAAAAAGTCTTGAGGAATCAAGGTCGCGTAACGAAGAGAAGAAAAAGTCGAAGTTCAAGGTGTGTGGTGAGTGGTGAGTGGCAATGCAGAATGCCGAGTTGGGGAAGTAGGAAGAAGCTTCTGGGTTGCGTGGAAAAATAAACTCTTTGCACACATGGGCTCATCCTCGCGCTTTGTTAGGCGCCCCGGTCAACACTCGGCCTGGCTTGGACTCGGCTCGACTCGACTCGACTCGGGGTTTCAATGAGATCGGAAGCCAACGCGGCATCAAAGACGAGCCCAAACTGCGGCAATTTCACATGAGTGTCCTTTGGAACTTCAAACGTAACTTCTTTCAGAATAGAATAGAATAGAATGATAATATCCATTCCGCTGTTTGGTGACAGCAGCGCCCTATCAAACATCACGCTTTGAATGAACAGGCAGACAATGAATGAATGATGCTATCTAGTTAGGTGCAGTCGATCATGGGGAATGGCTATGGCTGCATGGGGTGGAATAACGTCACGACCTCACATTCCACAAGCAAGATGGCGCAGTGGAAGCGCGCCGGGCTGTACGTACAAATCCAATAATTTGGCTTCCTTCCAACATACTAACATCACCTAGCATAACCCGGAGGACGGTGGATCGAAACCACCTCTTGCTAAAGAGATTTTTTTGGTGCACTCCCGAGTGCTCCATTCTTTTTGCCTCTTTTTTCATTTGGTGCACGCTCATTTTTGCCCATCCCTGCCCCCAGGGACAATAGTGGTCCTTTATGCGTGCAACAGTGAACAGTCCATCTTGCAGTGCTGTGAGGAGAGCGGCCAGGGTTCTACCTGGTTTCTATACCTGCTGTATCACATAGGGCGCCTCTCAGTGTAAACAAAGGAGCCCTTTGAATTGCTCTATGTTAGGGCCTCTCTGTTTTTTCTTTTCTTTTTTCTTTTTGAGAAGCATTCTTGCTCTTCAATTTTTTGGTCGAACCCAGGGCAAACCCAGGGCAAGACTCTGTGCCTTATGTATAGAACTAAGCTATGCATTACCCAATCAAGTTAGAGCAAGATGGCGCAGTGGAAGCGCGCCGGGCTGTACGTACAATTCACCCACTAATTTGACTTGCATCAGAATACTAACATCTCCCAGCATAACCCGGAGGACGGTGGATCGAAACCACTTCTTGCTAAGAAACTTCTTTTTTTGGTTTCTTTTTTTTTTTTTTTTGGCCCTCCTCCCTTTTCTTTTTTGTTTCTCACGTCCTTCAGCTTAATAGAATACAAATAATTCTGAACTTTCTCTGTCTGCTCATCTGCGTGAAATCCTCCCATCCTCTCAAGAAGCCCTACCCTTCTTCTGTGAGTCACTAGAAATATATTAGTGATCTGAACCACCACCACCAACACCACCAACACCACTATGCCCGACATCGCCACCCCAAACCTCCCCTCCCGGGACTTCACCACCACCTCCGCCTTCTACAGAAAGCTAGGCTTCGCCGAGACCTTCCGGGACGAAGGCTGGATGATCCTCAAGCGCCCCAGCACCAGCACCGGCACCGGCCTCACCCTCGAGTTCTTCCCGCACCCGGAGCTCGACCCGGCCGCCAGCTGGTTCAGCTGCTGCCTGCGGCTCGACGACGTCGACGCCTTCTTCGCCGAGGTCCTCGCCGCGGGCGTGCCCGAGGCCACCGTCGGGTTCCCCCGAGCGCACCGGCCGCAGGGCGGGGACGGGGACGGAGGGGGCGCCCTGCTCGACCCGGACGGGACGCTGCTCCGGTTGCTCAAGTCGCAGCCTGCTGCCTAGTTAGTTAGACCACCAGATCTCGTGTGCACTCGTGAGGGAACTACATGCCCACAGCCCCTCTCCTGAATTAGACAAATCAGGATGAGGAATGAGCATCAAGTCGATATCTGGCTGGGACTGTCACACACAGCACACGCACAGAGGACAAAGGCCACAAAGATGCAATAGTTGCGTTGCCACGTGCTTGCTTGCTTGCGTTTCATGCAAGTTTTCTCTCGATTTTGCATTTCTATCTACTTTCTCCGGCTTCCCTGCCCCCTCCCCCTGGTCTATTTCTCTTTTTTAATGTTTGCCCAACGATTTGTCGTTTCGCTTTTCTCGGAACTTTGCCCCCTTTTTCTCAAGAGAAGCTAAAGCAGCGAACAAAAGATGCGCAAACCCCTCCCCCAAAAAAACGCCGCTCCTGCTCCTCCCTCCCCTGCCCACACCATCCATGGTGACAAAAAAAAGCACAGAACGCCGCGAGGAGGGAGCAAATGCTTTGGCGTGGCCTGCTTTCCCCCAAATCAGGAGGTTGAGTTTGTTTTCGAAGGGGGTTCGTTGTCTTTCTCGGATGATCCACGCAAAGAAAAAAGAGATGTTTCGCCATGCTGCTCTATTTCCCTCTGTTTCTTGAGGGATGACACACACAAAAAGAAAAAGACAAATGTGTTATACAATCGCCAGAGGTACAAGTACATGCTGATGCAGTGTGATGAACAAAAGAAACGATAACAAAGACGCAAAAAACAAAAAAAGTCAAAAGCCGGTCCACTCCGTATAGACAAGAACGATGCTGGCAATTCCTGGTGTATGTTTGATGGTTGGTGTGTATGTACGTTCCCACACCCCCTCCCCTTTTGTACGCCTGGGAAAAGGGGCAACGAGGGAGACGGGAAAATTAAAAAGTGTGATGTGATAAGTTAAACGCCCCGCAGCGAGGGCGGGCTAGAAACGGAAGCAGACGCCCTCCTCCGCGCCAACCAGTCCCTCTAGGACGGGGGCGGCGACCTGTTGTGGTGGTGGTGCGGCGGCTGCGGCACCGACAGGCGCGGCACGTCGGACGAGTCCTTGGCGGCGCTGGGGATCTCCTGCGGCTCCTCGGTGAAGGACCCCTCGCCGAGGACGTTGGACGACTGCTGCCCCTGGTCGTCGTCCCTCGTGACGAGCGGCGACGGCGTCCGCGAGATCTGGCTGCCGAAGTCGCGCTCGCCGCTGACGCGGTCGATGGGCGACCAGCCGGCGGCGACGGAGCCGGCAATGATGCCGGCCATGACCGTCGGCGCGCCGAGGGCCGAGTTGGACCGCGAGCGCATGGACCGGGAGCGCTTGCGCGAGTCCGGGGTGGGGATCATGACGGAGCCCAGGCTGTCCTCGCGCGTCGGGGTCTGAGGCGCGTGCACCGAGTTGGACCTCGAATGGTCGCGCGAGGGAGACCGGGAGTTAGTCGGGCTTCGCGACTTGGACATGAAGTCCTTGGGGTGCTTCATGGCAAACTTGAGGTTGTTCAGGCGGCCGCCCTTGTACCGCTTGAGCCAGGCGAGCTCGTCGCGCACGTCGTCCAGGGCGGGAGGGTAGTAGGCAAAGCGCTCGTCGTCATCAGACACGGTGACACCGGGGATCTTGGTGTGGGCTCTACGCTTGAGATAGTCGGGGATGAGGCGCTCGACAAGCGGGTCGGGGACCATGCGGATGACCATTCCGATGGGGATGGAGATGAAGCCGAGGACAATGGCATAAGCCCACTGGGCACCGGTCTGCTTCTCCTTGGGGATGTTGAAGGCAACATCGCCAAACTGAATGATCAGAGCCTGGCCACCACACATGATTATGCTGATGACAGGGAAGAACATGTTCTTGCTCAGACCCTCGAAGATGTTGAAGCGGTTGTCAAGACGGCGGTTGCTATGTTGCGTTAGTGGGATTTTCTAGGGTTGCCTGGTAAGAGGGTTTTCATCACTTACTTCCACTGGTTGAAGATCTGCATCCACACAAAGGTGTTGAAAACCAGTGCCTGAACTTGAGCATCCGTAACATTGTCATCGTAATCCGGGAGGACGTTCTGCTTGCCAAAGTACAGCAGGAAGGTGATGGCGAGCTGGTAGATAGCCTGTCCAATGATCATCTTCCACATGGTCGTCGAGATGATACCTGAACCTTTGCGTTCCGGTTTCTTGTCGAGGACCGAAGGGTGGGGAGGGTCGGTTGCAAGAGCGAGAGCAGCCAGAGTGTCCATGATCAGGTTGACCCAGAGCAACTGGACTGCGGTAAGCACACTAGTTTCATCGTGGCTCGAGACAGCCGAGACGAATGTCAGGACGACAGCGGTGACGTTGACAGTAAGCTGGAACTGCAAGAATCGCTTCACGGCGTCGTTGACCGCACGACCCCACTTCAGAGCGTTGACGATCGAGTTGAAGTTGTCGTCCATCAAGATGATAGCAGATGCCTCCTTGGCGACCTCAGTACCGGTGATACCCATGGAGAAGCCAACGTCAGCCATCTTCAGAGCCGGTGCATCGTTGGTACCATCGCCAGTGACAGCCACGGTTTCTCCCTTCTCCTTGAGCCGCTTGACAAGGATACGCTTGTCTTCGGGGCTGGAGCGCGCCAGGACGTGGAGGCGCGGGATGATCTCTTCTTGCTGGGACTTGGTCAGGTTGCGGAACTCGGGGCCGTCCATGACGATACTGTCGGGCTGCAGGATACCACAGTCTTCGGCAATCGCCTTCGCAGTAAGCCTATTGTCACCAGTGACCATGCGCACAACAACGCCGGCCCTCTGACAGTCCTTGACAGCTTCGCGAACACCCTCGCGCAGAGGATCCTTGATGCCGACCATACCGATGAAGATCATGTCCTTACAGATCTGCTCGAAGGGAACCTCGTCTGAATCGCGGTCGGCGCGGCGGAGGCGGCGGGGAGGCCACTGTTCAAAGTCGCGGTAGATGATGCCGATAGTCCTGAGCGAAGAGGAAGCATATTGCTCGATGAGATGGGCGATTGTCTCCTTGTTCTCCTCCGTCATCTGGCAAGCGCTGATATCCTTGGACGGATCACGCAAGATCTGCGTGCAGTACTCGACCATGATTTCCGAGGCACCCTTCACATAGAGTCTTGCCTTGCCGTCGGGGAGGGCGACGACGACACCCATGCATTTGCGGCCCGAGTCGAAGGGGATCAGCTGCAGGATCTTGGCGTTGGAACGTTCTTCGGCAACGGGACCCATAGCCAGATGCTCCTTGGCGAAGATGAGAAGCGCAGACTCGGTCTTGGAACCAATGAAAGTCATCCGGCCATCGACATCGCCTTCAAAAGCAGTCGAGTTCAGTGCGATCGACTTCAACAGCAGGTCTCGCACGTCTGCACCGAGGATTGAAGTGAACTCATTGGCGCTCAGATCCCTGTGATCCTCAGGAGATGCTGGGGTCTGTTCCTCGTCCGCGGGCTGAATGCCGCCAAATCGATGTGCCGTGCCAATGGTCCCAGCGACAACCAACATCTTGTTCTGAGTCAATGTACCTGTCTTGTCCGAGCAGATGGTGGTGGCGTTGCCCATGACCTCGCAGGCCTTGAGCTGTCGGACCAGGTTGTTTTCCTTGACCATCTTCTTGGTAGCGTAGCTAAGCGCTAGAGTGACTGCTAGAGGAAGACCCTCCGGAACAGCGACAACGATGATGGTGATGACGACGATGAAGATGGTGAGGAAGTCCTGTCCCTTTTGGGCGGGTGTGACATCTGGCGGTAGCTTCGGCAGTCGCGCGCAGAATTCAATGAAGAGGACAACGAAGAGAAGGAGGGCGGAAGCTCCTCCGAGCTTGGCAATGTAATCGGCAATGACGTTGAGTTTCATCTGCAAGGGAGTGATCTCGGGATCATCGTGCAGGGACATCAAGGTCCTGCCGTAACTCGAGTTGACCCCAGTGGATGTGACCAAGAAAGTACCCAGGCCCTCCATCACCCTGGCACCGGACTGGATGAACGGATCCATCTTCTTGAGGCTGTCGTGGTTCTCGATGGCCGCATAGACTTCGTCCGAGGCCCTCTTCTTAATCAGGTCGGACTCTCCGGTGGTCTGAGACTCGTCGCATTTGATGTTGTGGCCCTCAATGAGCACTCCATCGACAGGGATCAGGTCTCCGGTTTCCAAATGCAGTACGTCGCCAACGAGGATATCGTACACCGAGATCTCTTGGGTCTTGCCGGAGCGGATTACCTTGACGAGCCGGTCCGTCTTCTTCTTGTTGAGCTTTGCAAACTGCCGTTCCTTCTGCCAATCGTTCAAAGAGCCCACGATCACAACAATAGTGATGGCCACGATGATGGCGACACCCTCGATCCACTCGACCTTGGGCTCGCCTGGCTTGTGCTCTCCACCAAAGGTCTGGTACAGGCCAACGGCTAGAGATACGGCGGCAGCGATGGAAAGCAGGATCAGGATCTTGTCGTTGAACGTAATCCAGACCAGTTGCAGGAGCGACTTTGCTTTCTTCTCCGGCAGGCGATTGTCCTTGTACACTCGTTTCCTGTCGACGAACCGCTCGCCTCCCGGTTTCGACGTCGGCGTCCTTGCAGCAGTGGGCGTAGTTGGCGAAGGGACATTGTCGATCCCTAATGAGACCTCCTTGTCTTCCGCCGACCCGGTCGCCTCGTCAAAGGTGACACGGCCGCGCACATTGACCTCGTCCGAGCTCAGTCCAGCACGTCGATCGCTTTGCAGACCCTTTTCCAGGCCGCGCAGTCCTCCCATCTTGTAAAAAGCCGATAGGCTCTTTGGGTTGAACATCTTGTTCAGCTGGCCCACGCTGAAGGCGAAAGGGCTGTCGTTCGCCACAAAGTCCTCCTCCTTCCCCTTATCGGGCTTGAGCGCGTCCGCATCATTCATAATCTTATCATTGGACAGATCTTGTGATGTAGTCCTGCCAAGCTTGGGCTTGTCTCCTGGCTGGGATGCGCTGCCCACGACGGTCTCTCCCTGAGACATGGCTACCGATCTCGAGCCATCATCCGAGTCGACCGAGTTTTGCCTTGAGCGGGGGTTGTGCGGTACGGATAGGAAGTTGTGGTTCTGGTCGTTGCCTCTCGAGGTAACAGGGCTGGAGATGTTGTGCGGACTCGTAGGCCGGCTCCGATCGCTCTCAAAGGATGGCGTCTGCTGAAGTTGAGGCCGTCCACTGGATCCTGAGTACCCTCGGGCCGTCCTCTGGGAACCGGACCAGCTGCTTGGGTCGATGGTCGTTACTGGGCTGTGGTTTTCGTCCGTGGGGGATGCTTGCGAGTGTGTTGACTCGGCTTGGTTGGGTGCGCCTGGCTGATCCATGTTGGCATGTGTGTCCGGATTTACCGCTGTGGTGTCTATGGTGATGGTAGGCCTATCACGGGATGGGTTAGAGTCTGCTGGGTTGGATAGTTCTCGCTGAGAATATGGTCTATTCTTCAAAAGAAAGGAGATGGAGAGAAACAGTAACGCTTACGCTCGAGGTCGCCGGGTCGGGGCGGACTCTTCGCCCGTCGGAGGATCCATGATGATCTGGATGGAGGATTATACGATGCCTGGGTGAGGGCGAAGTCGTCAGCATGGGCTTTGCGCTTTGGGCCAAGACTTTCTTTGGCGTATTTGTGTTGAAGTTTCAACCTTTCTGACACAGACGTTTTGACTGTGAGGCTGTGCAATAGGCGGACTCGCAATACCAAAAAAAAAAAAGAGGTCGAGCTCTGATTTTGAGCCGCTAGGGCAGCTCGGCTGAGGCAGGGCAGGGGATTTCCCTACCTTGAAATACACCGTCCCAAAACACTCCCTCAAACGGTTGCTCCCCAAGTGAGAGGTTCGTTGGGGGGAGAGATAGCACCGGTCGAATTGGGCAGGTCAACGACGTGCGAGCGGCGTAGGGCGCAGGCGGCGGGGCAGTGAGAGGGAGTGGACGTTGGCTCCGCGTCTAACAATGCGCAAGGTGAATTGATAGAGAGGAAGTGTCGTGTCGATAGGAACAGAAGCTCTTGTCAAGGGCGGCCGTAGGAGCTTGGTGATATGTCAAGACGATCCCGGCATCTTTGCCACTGGGAGCTCTCTGGGGTGGAAGGGGAGGATGCAGCGAGAGATGCAAGCCTGTCTGGAGTTAAGCAAGCAGCAGCCGTGCAAGCATGGCGGACGAATGATCGTCGTCGCTGGTCCAGAGGCTGTAATCAAGTAAGAAATTCCTTGATAGGGCGGACTTGTCGAGAGAAGGATCTTGAACAATGGGTTGAGCGAAGTGACTGGTGGTGTGTATATGAATTTCTGGCCCGGGTGTTCAAACAATTAACTTGTACACCAACAAACCAGACTGAGAAGGGGCACGGGATACCTGAGGAAGACCCGTGCTGTAGCGGAGCGGGTGCCTATGGCCAGAGGTCTTCAGGCGGTATTTGCATATCTCGGTCGACATGTGGGACGGTGGGGCGCCCCCTGCACGACTAGACATGCGGTTGCGGGAACCCATTTTGAGATCCCAGTGAATCCCCCAGAGAAAGGGAGCGGTAGACGCAAATGGCAGCCAAATGCCAGCGGGCGGTGGCCTCCCAAATCACCCCAAATCAAGCCAGCGATCCCCAGCGAATTGCCAAGAGTGAGGCAGTGCACCTGCTGTGTGGGCCCACGGGCCTATCACCGGGCCCGCTACTGCAGGGATCCGGAGATGGGGGGGCAAGCGACGGATCGACCTGGGTAGTCTACTAGCAGGGGGGCTTCTGGGCCACCAAGCTGCCTCTTCTGACTCTGGGCCTTCTTTGACTTGGGCAGTCTAGAGCTGCATTCTAACCTTAACTTGTGCTGGCTGTACTCTGTAGACTCCACTTATCAGAAGTTGGTTGTTAGCCTCTCTGGCTTCCTCTTACCTACACGGCCATGCTTGGGGGTGAGGCGTGATACTTAGCTAGGCCTCCGGCAATGACGATGACGCTTGAAAGACAGACAACATCATCATCGTCGTGACCTGACCACCAGCCAGCCCGACCAGGCCGGCGCAGAGGCGGATGGCAACTCCAGCCACCATCCATGCGTAAACAACTTTGCCATCGCCCGTTCTATTGTATCCTCGGCGCAAGTGTTCCCGCTACCGTCTCGGGACCTACGGTACCAGACTACCTAGAGTGCTGTATCCTGTGCACCCGGCCGCCCGTCATCATGCCGATCGAAAAGGGCAATCCTCAGCAAGGAAACAAGCTGAGTCGTAGACACGCTTGTGCCACCTACTATTCGTCATGCGCAACGGCTCATCATTGTTTCTGAACTCCGACAGACACGGTAAAGGATCAAGAGAAGGCACAGCAGCTTACGGCTGGAACAGGTGGCCCGGTCATTACTCAGATGACAGACAAAGTCGAGAGCCACAACACGAGGCGGTCTGCCGCTTCCATTCACACGTGCGGGCATTGGCTTTGCTGCGTTGTTCCTCCGTGAGTCGAGGCCAACGAACTTCCGGCATTCCCTAGCCTCTGACTCCGGCCGGCGGACAGAGAGTCCAGGCTATCCGAAAAGCTATCAGCTGGATCCCGAGAGGGCAGTGCTCTTGGTATTTTTGCCTCCTCGCAATTCGTTGAGGAGTCCCTTTGTCTCCCTCCATCTATCAGTCCATCAATCTATCGCGGCGCATCGTCATTACAGACCGTCGACATCGGCTCGAGTAGGTAGGTGGCTGAATAAGGAATCTGAGGATGCAACCAACCGTCCCTCCCGCTGTCGACGCCCATCATCCATCATTGATCCCGCCCGGTCCTTCAGCCAACCCTGCCGCACATTCTTCCGTCTTCTTCCATCCCATAGTTACTTCGACCACCTGCCATCTGTGTTCGAGCACTGGCTCGGCGGTTTCGAAGTTCTGCTCTCGGCACTTGGCGGACGGGACCAGTGCTTCGCCATAACATAGTTACTCTACAAGTAGCTGGCTATTTTCGACGGTTCCGTTTCATGAAACGCTGTCGCTTTCGTGCCCATCCTGGCCCGACAGCCAATCAAGCGAGGCCCCGGAGGCATCCCTCCCATCGCATCCCAGATCTGGGCATCCGAGCGTTAGGGGATCTTTTGTTTGGCGCCAGGGTTCATTCACGTCACAGAATGAGCTCGAGTGCCGTGTGAGCCAATCCGGCCGCTTGGTAAAAAAAACCAATCCCATGATCTTCTCCATGTGTATGACCACATGTCTGATGGTTGGTTGGATGTCTTTAGTTCTCTCTAACTGCCCAAACGGTCCTCTCGCATGTGCAGAGTACCGAAGTACGTACTCCATCCTTGATAATGCCAGCCTCAGAAAATTTGCGTCGAGCCTGCATTAAAGAAATGTGGGTTGTGATAAGATCTGCCTTCGGTTACGAAAGTGGCTTGTTGGCGATACCTAGCCTGGACATCACAGAAAAACCTTGAATCTCGCTTTGAAGCCAGCTCTAGCCGCCACGACCAACCCAGACATGGGATATGATGTGATTGTCCCTGGATGCGCAAACAGGTCGTGCACAAAACTAGAGAATAGGGGCTGTCACGGTATTGATCAACATTGGGCCAGAATCAACCGAGCTTGTTAGGTGGTGCTGCGCCAGAGGACAAGCAACTAAAGTGAACAAGATCGTTGATCGCATGGGTCCTCGAGCTATTTGTCTTTGTACAAGTACTGTATTGGGAGAACCCTGTCGTCATGTACATACAATGTTTGCTTGACAGGCATCATTCCGCGCGCCGGAGATGAGAGACGACACGCGCGCTCGGCGACCGCCCTGGAAGGGGATAATGCATCAACCGTCGCAATATCTCGAGGCAGATCCATCGATTCTTTCATATTTCTGGCATGCGGCATTCAGCTGTTCATGTTCGCATAGGAGGCATATGAATGTCTTGGCAGCAATGCTGTGCCCGCCCTGGTCTGGAACCGTCAATCTGGGACGCCTTCAGACGGATGATGCGGTACCCGAGATCCGTAGAAACAACTTCGATCAATCCCTCCGCATACCTTGTCAGCCCTTCCAGAACTCTTCTTATTCGAAACGGACTCCTCTGCTTATCTCATCGGCACGTTATGATTGCTCAGCCTCGATTAAGTCGACTCTCATGCTTCATATTGGCCATCCTCTCTGATGCTCTCCCTGGCGCAGATCTCGTGGGGGCGCTTCATCTGGACTGTTTCCGGGCGAGTTGCATCGACGTCTGGCATAGAAGCACGCTTTTCTTCGTTGCCCAGTGCGACTGCCGCATGTCTGAGATGCGAGAAATGCCACAATTGAGCCCAAGGCCTGAGATCATGGCTCTAGCTTCCCACGGTCCACATTCCACAGGTTGGTTCTCCAGGCTCTGGGGACGAACATCATCCGTACGGGAGGTACCTACCTATCTACCTAGGTACCGACTTCTCGTGTCGATTACCTAGACCATGAGTCCATGACCAACTCGAAGTTTCTGCCCTCCAACAACAGAGTTTCCTGTGAGAGGCCTCTTGCAAGCGCTTTTCGCAAAGAGGCATTGAGGCGGAGCACAAGACTATGGTCTTGGCAGTCCTCGTCGATGGGACGCTTATTTATCCTCCACCTCAACTCAACCTCCAACCGCCGCCCTCTATCGCCTCTCTGCCGCTGGCTGATGAGCATTTCTTCTTCTCCACAGGTGCACACTCTTGCCCTGTCGATCCTGCAGGACGGGTGGGTTTGCACTATGATTCCCAAGACTCATTGGTACCCGGAGGGAATGGGGATAGCTTCGTTCGTTGTCTCGAGTAATGTGATATGCGGCGTCGGCGCCAAGACTGGCCCTTCGATCAGTGTCGCGAGACGAGAGGCTACAATCACATGTTGTAGGAGAAATTGCCTCAAGATTAAAAAAAATTCTCTCCCTCTCGTTACGCCTGCCAAGAAGGCTCAAGATCGTCAAACCTCCATGTCAGAGTGAGGGGGTTCTGCAGGACGGGATGAGGCTGTGCTCTGCGAAGCGAAGGCGCCGGTCTTGCAACTTGGCTGCCACCGCTTTTGGGTCTCGCCGGTGAGAGAGAGCTCCCGTCCGTCGCTCCAAGGCAGATCTCCAGATTATTAGTCTCACTCCATTTCGCAAGACGTCTCGTCCCTCGAGCCGCAGTGGTCCATATATGCCAAGCTGTTACTAGATAACTATCTTGAGCCGGGCACCTGCCTTTCACGGCCTCAACTGCCGTCAGCCAAGTCTCCCTAGATCTTCTCGGTCAGTGTCGTGATTCTTGATGGTGACATTGTCACTCCTCAAGACCAAGTACTTGTAGGTCCGAGTCCTGCCACCTCACCGCCGCTCCCTCTCCATGCCTTGGTCAACACGATGGTGGAGACACCGGCTGCCCTCCCGAACCTTGATATTACAGTAGTGCCGACGCTTGTTCGTTAGGAAGAAAAGTCTCCTTCGTAATAGACGAGGAAGCTGGGGGCTGGTCGTACTTCGTACTCCACTTTCCAGAGCAACCTTGATATGCAAAGTCTGAACTGCACTTCGATACGACTATCTCGACGTTGTTTCTTGGCATCGGGTGCTGAAGACGTTGCCTGGCTCCCCAACCACCCGGACGAGCTACTTGTACAGCGCCATTAGACAAACACAACAACACGACGGATCATTGCCAAGAAGATGGCGATGCCATTGGGCTCATCTACACTAGATAATCTTAGTCTTTGCGATCTCTCGCGTCTCGTTCCCCCTTTAGGTATCCCGTAGTGACATCTGCGTTCTTTTTGTTTCCCCCCTAAACTACCTACCGCCTGCCCAGATCGACCTCCCGCACAAGGACCATATCACTGTCCGCGTCACGCCCGCTACTCGTCGTACTCGTACTGGCACTGGCGCCAGCGAACGGACCGACGGCGAGGCGAAGCACTCCTGCCCAGAACTCCGCCACGATCTCGCTGAGCTCATCCCCGGTCTGCTTGAAGTCCGGGAAGGCGTTGACCTCGAGCAGCCAGGCCGTGCCCGCCGCGTCGACGAGGAAGTCGAGCCCGTAGACCTCGAACGCGCCGGGCAGGGGCTGGAAGTGCACCACCATGCCCCTGGCCGCCGCCTCGAAGATCTCGCCCGCCACGTCGCAGATCTGCGCAAAGATGGACTCCTTGGATATCGCTGCCTTGGTGGTAGTAGCAGTAGCAGTAGCAGATCCGTCCGGCAGGTCCGGCAGGTCCCAGAACCGCGCGACGGCGCCCTCCCTGGCGGCGCCCGAGCCGTCCTCCTTCTGCAGGCAGGTGTTGGTGAGGTGCGCGTCGAGGTTGCCGTTGCTGCTGCCGTCGTCGTCGTCGCCGCCGCCTTCCCACGGCGCGGCGTAGGGCTTGCCCGCGAAGAGGGCGAGCATGGGGCGGAAGACGTGCACCTTCATGGCCCCCGTGCACAGGACGTACGTGCGGACGTGGAACTTGCGGTTCTGCATGCCCGGCAGCAGCAGGGGCGGGTGGATGTAAGGCTGAGCCACAAAGTGTCGTAGGTGCGACGTCGTGATGTATTCCTTGCCCTCGTCAGCGTCGTCTTCGTCGCCATCTCCGCCGGCCCCGTTCTGCGATGTATTGTCTTCGTCGTCCTCGTCGTCGCTGTCCGGCTGATCTTCCTCCCAGGCGTCGAATATGCCTTGCAGCTCCTCCATAGTGTGGAACAGCTTGATCCCCTGGCCGCGGTCGCTCATGCCCGGCTTCAGAATCCACCACTCCTTCGACGACGACGACGACGACGACGGCGATGACGACGAACCCTGACCGAGGCCTCCTCCTCCTCCTACTGCTCCCGTCTCCCCCGGCTCCTCGACCTCGTCCTCCTCCGGGCCCCCCTCCTCGTTCTTCTCCAAGCTCGCCCTGAGGTCGAACGCCTCTACCAGCGCGTCGTCCAGAAACTCCGCGTAGTCCACCTCGAACGCCTCGCTGCGCTTGACGTGCGTCTTGAGCACCGAGTCCGGGTGCTTCGCGACCCAGTGGTCCACCGTCGACGACAGGAAGTGCTTCCGGATCAGCGCCTTGCGGATCATGTAGCTGTTGACCAGCGATGTGGCCGGGTGCGTGGCGGCGTGCTCGAAGTCTATGCTCTCGTAGGGGCTGATCTGCAGGACCTTCGCATCGGGACTCGGCAGGAGCGAAGGTAGGGATATCGCGCAGTCCGATGATTCTGTCGTCGGGGTCGGCGGTGTCAGGAGGGTGTATCGTTCCTTGGGCAGGAGCTTCTCGAAGGCGGAGAGGATGAGCGGTTGTACGTAGGCGTCCTCATAGTCGATGAGGGCGTAGATGTGGTCCGGGTCTTTCTTCTCATCTGCGGGCTTGGGTCGGCTTGCAAGCGCTTTCTGGCTGGGTTCCCTACAAGTGACGGCGATCAGTCAGGGTGTATACTCTATATTTCAATGCAGACTATGCGATGGACAGAGAGCCAGAGTCGTGTACGGCTCTTTGTGTATGTTGTCTTTGGGTTCTAGTGGTCGTATCTAGAGATGTCTATTCCAAGTCCCTTTCGAGTCTATCATAGCCCATGCTCCATGTTTTGAACTCCCGACAGCCAGACTTCGCCAAAAGCTTCCCCGCCTGACGGACTCCTGAGAAAATGCAGATGCATATCGCAAAATGGACTGGATTGCCAACTTACAGCTCCAGCTCCTGGCCGTGCAGATGCGTCGCTGCGGCCCAAAAGTTCGCCTTGATAGCCGTGACACTTTGGGTGCCGTTAGTTTTGGATGACTCTACCACCTCGACAAACAAACCCCTTTGAACGGACAGGAGAGTCCCAAAACAGAAACAACTCACCTCGTAAACCCTTCCTTGACAGCCCACCCGTCGTTCCCAGGCGGCGCCTCCTCCACGCTGCGGTACACATCCGTGAACCTGGGCGCCCACTTGAAGTGCTTGTGCACATGCTGGCTCGACGCCGCGGCCGCCCCGCCGTCGCCACCGTCACCATTCGCAGCAGCAGCAGCAGCGACCTCGCCGTCCCGCCCCTCCCGTATCCTCTCCTCCGCCTCGTCCTCGTCCCCGCCGTCGCCCCCCTCGACGGCCTGGAAGCACCCGCCCTCGCTCCAGTAGTTCTGCAGCATCCCCGTCCACAGCGTCCGGTGCGTGTCCACGCCTTCCACGAGCGGCACGTTGACGCTGTACACGTCGACCGAGCCGTCGGCCGGGAACTGCGCCGCGAGCCGCTCGATGACCCGGACGGCGTGCCTCGTCGCCGCGCCCACGACCTCCGGGTCGTGGTTGCGCGTGAAGAAGGCGTAGCTCAGCGCGACCGCCCGCCGGCGGCAGACGGCCGCCTCGATGGCGCCGCCCAGGGTCCCGCTGCTCAGCGCGAACACGGCCGTCGTGTTGCGGCCGTAGTTGGGGCCCGAGACGACGAGGTCGACGGCGCCGCGCTCGCGGAAGAAGTGGTGCAGCCCGATCTGCACGCAGCTCGCGGGCGTGCCGTCGACGAGCACCCACTCCTCCGGGGCCTGCTCGCCGGGGCTCGACCGCCGCCAGGGCCGCGCGTGCGTCGACCCGTCGTCGGTGGCGCCGGGCAGGCCCGCCGGGACCGGGGAGGCGGCTTCCGTCGGCGGGCGGTAGTACGTGGGCCGCACGGTGTGGCCTATGAGGTGCGCCTTGCCGATCCAGGAGCGCTGGGTGTGCGGCAGGCAGACCGAGACGGTGTGGCCGGCGGCCTGGAGGGCGCGCACGAGGGCGTGGACGTAGGGCGACGAGTGCGGGCTCGGGGGCCCGTCGTCGTTGGTCACGAGGATGTGCATCTTGGCTCTGGCGGGTGGTGTATGTGTGTTCAAGGAGAAGTATGTAGTACGAGAGAGGCGCAAAATGCGCTTTGGGAGGAGAGTGGATAGAAAATGACGTGACGATCCGGTGTTCGGAGCCGCTCTGTCATCGAGGATAAGCCAATTGACACGGTCACGATGGGCAAATCATAGATATAGAGACAGAAGAGAAAAATGTATGCCGCGGAGGAAAACGTCTTCTTTTTGTTCATGCAATCGAGGCTATCCCAACCTATGAATAAGGCCAAGCAGTTTGGATCCTCTCATATTGTAAAAGTGCACAAAAGCGGGGGCGGGGCTAGCCACGTCTGAAGGCTTGGGACGCGCCGGCTTGGACAGCATTGTCTGGTCTTCTCAACCTGAATTCCGAAGAGGTTCCTAGAGTGGTAGCGAATCGATGTTGAGTGGAGGGGACTGGTGGTATGTGATGTTAAGGGACATAAAGTGTGTCACATTATATAATCCTGCGAGCCTTGTCAACAGCATCGTCAACGTTTGGGTCATAGCTCAACATGGGATATGTCGAACGGCATCAAAGACCGAGACCGAATTCCTGTCATATCACACCCAGCCCACCTTGAAGGTTTCCCAAGAAGACAAGGTCCGTCATTGATTGACATGCAAAAGACAAATAAGTTGCCTTGGCCCATGTGACTAAAGGTCTACCTAAAAAAAAAGTGCAAATCATTGTGGGAATCTCTGATCCGTATAACTTCATGACCGTCCAGAATGCCGATACCCATATGTCTCCCAACTCTAGTCGAACTCCCATGTACTACACAATATCTTTGTGTGTCTTTTCTGTCGCTTTCCCAAAAGTACTGAGGCATCGAATAACCCATCGCAAAATCATGTACTAAAAGACAGTCCACATGAGGATGCCGCGGTATGAATGGTGGATAATAGTCCAAGGGCGGTAAAGTCCCGCTCAAACAGACCGAATCTGTTGTTTACAGAGTATGTGAAGTGCGGGCGCGCTTGGCCGGGGCGACAGATCCCAGGTCCGCAGCCGCTCGCTTCTGACCAGCTCCTCCAGTGCTGCTCTTGGAGCGGCGCCAGCCATCGAATGGACTCCGCTTAGAAGAACCGCCGCGAGTGGCCTTGACAGGCGTCAGGTCGTCCGCGGCCTTGTGACCCGATCGAGTGGCGCGCATAGTAGAAGGTGGTGAGACAGGCGCGAACTTGGGAGCCTCCGGGGTGCCAGGGAATTTGGTGGCAAGCTTAGCGGGCGTCTGCGGTAGCTCCTCTTGCTCGTCTTGAACCTGGTCCTCCTCGATGTCGGTCGCAGCCTCTTCCTCGTCGAGTTCTTCGGGTGCTTTTCCCTTGGTGGGGAACAGCAGGCGAGGTTTGATGGATGATCGCGTGAAGCGTTTGGGCTGACTCGACTCGATCGCTTCCTCGGTTGCGACATCGCTCTCGGCGCCCTCGGCTTCGTCCCCAAACTTGCGGAAAATCTTCTTTCCTCGGCTGCAAAGAAATATTAGTACAAACCCTCAAGATATTTACATTCAACAAGAGGAGCATTCGGAATTTGCTTACAAGACATAGACTAGACCATCGTCTCGATGGACGGCCTCGTCCACACTCTGCGCACCTTCGCCAGGAATAGAGACGTGGTTGCGCTTGCTCCGGCGCTTGGAGGGCTCGGGAGCAGGTGCTGCACCATGGCCATAGAAGGGGTTGTCGAGCGACTTGTCGACCTCGGGAATCCTCTCTCGAGTGTCGGTGAAGATCTGGATCGGCTCCTCTTCCTCGATGGCGGTAAAGCTGTCCAGGGAGAAACCGGTGTACTTCTTGGCGCGCTTCTTCTTGCTGGCGGTGGGCGTGCTGTGGTCGGGGATCACATCCTCCTCACCGTGGAAAAGATTCCGTGCGATTGCCGCAATGTTGGCCTCATTCTGCGCGGACGTTTGTTTCCGAGCCGGGGTTTTGGAGGGTGTCGGGAGCATGCCGGCATTTGCCGCCCGGTTCTGGCGCGACTCAGTCTTGCCGTGCAGACCCAGAGATGCAGCGGCGTTGGCGGTGCTCTCGGCGGTCAGCTGGCCAGATGCGCGTCGGATCGAGTCCACGGCAGGAAAGCGCTTCTTCTTGGGAGAGGCGGCAGGAGACATGGCGTTGAAATCGCGTCTTGATGACTGAGGGGAGCGAGGATGTTGTGGTTGGCGCTTGGAAGATGATGTGGGAGAAGGAGTTCGCGCAGTCGAGGTTTGTTGTTGTTGTGATGATAGTCGAGCCGACTTGCGCGGAGAAAAAGGTTCCCAGGAATCGCTGTAGCCGTGCTTGGGAGTGGGAGGGGTGTGGATGTTGTGGGAAGGAGAGGGAGTTGTTGCTGTTGGCGTGTCCATGGTGAAGTAGAGTGGTGCAAGCCGGGTGGCTTGGCTTGGGTTGGTTGGTGAAGTAATGGCAAGCTCTTTGTCCCTTCACCAGGCCGAATCCACACCGCAACTTGGGTCCGAAAGGGTGTTGTGTTCAAAACGAGGTTGGAATAAAAAAGGGTGGTGCTCTCAGTCAGTGACCGAGAAGTAGGAACTGGTGAGGATCTGAGTTGCACGATTGTTGCTCGGACTTGCGACCAAGGGGCGATAAGGGCTGGCTGGACGTCGAAGACCTCAAAGCTTTCAAAACAAAGCCGGAGACGCAAGGAAAGACAAAAGATACAAGAGTCTAAAGATAATGCGTTGAGGAAAAGAATCAAGGGTATTTCAAAGCATTAGCCAATTAAGCAAAGAGCTCAAACTGTACTGGTGCATTATCGTGGTTGCAAAGGGAAGAGAAAGTGTTGGTGGTTTGCGATGATACGATGGAGTTGGGGGGAGAAATTGCATCGAGGCGGAGAGAGGGAGCGAGGAGGCTGGTGCTGTCCTGCTCCCAGGTTGGTTGGGTGGCCCTGCTCCTGACTGTGACACCCCCTGCTGTGGCCGTTACCAGCCACCTGTAAAACGACCTCGGGACCTGTACCACACCACTACAAGGCCCCCCTGCCACGCCGCTTCAGTGCGGCCCGTGCTTTTTGGGTACCGAATTTTGCCCTGGAGATTAAAGCGAAACGCGTCTGGTGATGTCAACCGCGTTTTTCTGGACCCGTTAGGCCGTTGCCCCACTGCATTGGACGCGTCGCGGCGGGCCAATCCCCCGCCAGGGCTGGCCAGGGCTGCTGGCAACCCCTCCTTGTCACCATGTGCTGGTGTACTGGCACCCAATCCTGGACCTCCACACAAGCAGGCTTCGAGCTTTGCGGCGCAAAAAAGGGTCCCTTGGATGTACGGAGTGTACGTATGTGTAAACAACAACACACAACGTCATCCCTTTGAATGGTTTCCTTGTTTCACAGTCGCTAGCAACATTGCTGCCCAGATTCCACAATTCCCCTACACTACAACCAGGCCCTTGCAGCAGCAAATCCACGACACGCTCTCGCCGGCCATGGACTCGTCCGATCTCTTCACCTCGTCCCCGGCAAAAGCAGACCCTGCTTCCGACTCCGAGGACGGGCCCAAGACCCCGACCAATCAGAATGTGCGATTCGACGCAGAGGAGGTGCGCGAGGCCGCCCTGCGGCGAGAGTTGGAAGGCGTGCGCAACATCAACGAAGTCATCGAGGGCGTGCTGGGGACTCTGGAGCGGGCCAAGGGCAACATGAATGTAGGGCTCACCGGCGACAGCTCACACACATCTCGATACCTAAGGCGCATCATACTAAACTAAGACTTGTAGAATGTCTCTCAGACGGTGAACAATGCGTCAACCTTGCTCAATACCTGGACGAGGATATTGTCGCAAACCGAACACAACCAGCGCTTGATACTCAACCCGGAGTTCAAGGGCGCGACACAGGACCTGCTGGAGATAGAAAGCGAGAACCTGCGCAAGCAGCAGGAGGCGGAGCGCAAGGCCGAGGAGCTGGAGCGCCGAAGGGAAGCCGCCCGCCGGAAGGCCGAGGAGGACGAGCGACAGAGACTAGTGGCTCCCTCTTCGACTTCGTCGAGTAGAGGACTCGCTCGGGGAACTAGATCGCGTGGAAGAGTGTACTCCCGGGGCTCAGGCATCGGCCGCGGAGGCAGCACGAGCGGATCGATGTCGGACACCAGCACATCAAGTCTGCAGCGCACACGGAGCGGGTCAGGCATAGGAAGGGGTTTCGGTGGCACGAGAGGAACGCGGGGAAGAGGTGTCAGGTAAACGCCGTCCAGCTTCCGAGGTGCCATTACCAATAACTAGCTCATGAAGTCAATGATACCATGCCTATACCCAACAAATGCTGTGGCCAAATATCCCTGCCCAGACCCAGAATGCAAAATATTGTTTCATGTACAAAGTGCACGCTGCCCTCCCTGGTTCATGTCTTCTTTTTGAAGAAGTCACTCATCTTCTTCATGCCGCTCACATTGACCTTTTTCAGGTCTCTGACACCACGGCTCTCGTTGGCCTTCTTCCTCTTCTCCTCCTCTTCCTTCTTGCGCCGCTTCTCGGCACGCTCTTCATCCTCTTCGTCGCGGTTCCGTTTCCTGGAGAAGTCCGACGCCGAACGTGCTAGCGTGGCTTCTTGCCGCAGCTTAGCCAGCCTGGTTGTGTATTCTTCCAGGGGCGCCATGTCCATGGTCTTCTGGCTGCTCAGCTTCTCCTTCAGGATCGTCGCCAGTATCGGCGGGACGTAGCGAGAGCAGATGAAGTTGAAGGCGATCTTGAGCGACTGAAGATTGACGATCTCGGGTGACGCTTGCATGGCGGTAGTGACTTCGTTGGCCGTCGCCTCGGTCTCGTCCGCGACCGAAGTTGCTGCCGTGGAGGCTGCAGATATCGAGCTGGCGGCGGTGTCAACCGTGGACACGGACGATTGTGAATCAGCAGACTCGTTCTGTGGTGTCGAGACTCCGCTCTCGGTATTGCTTTGTTCTGATGGTGTCGGCTTGGCTTGTGTACTCCTCACGCTGGAGACGGGGGCCTCCAGAGCCTTGGTGACAAACTTCTCCCTCAGACTCTTGGGCAAGCCAGCCTCGCTCAATCGCTTGGCTTTGGCCAAGACCACCTCCACGAGTTTGTCTTCGTTCAACCGGAACATCGACTCGTCCCCAGCCTCCACGGTGTCGCAAGCAGCCGCCATCCTGGCCTCCAGCAGCTTTCGCGTCGCCTCCCACCGCAGTATCTCTGACATGTGAGAGTCTTCTTGAGGGAGCGACTCGAAATGGTCGTCGCTGGACAGGAACATGCGCTTGGGCGGATCGGCCTTGGTCGACACTTGTGCCGCCAGAGCAGGGAGGACGAGGAACACGGGATCGATGGAGGAGGCAACGTAGAGCTCGGCGCTCTTTGTGATTTGCGCCTCTGTTGTCTTCTTGTCGCCATCCTTGCCTGTGCTGGTTCCCTCAAGGAGCCAGCTCCTGGGGCTCGTTCGCGGGGCGGACACCTTGGTGAACTCGTAGATGCCGGATGTTGGACACACGAGATATCGCGCTGGCTTGGAAGTCCTTGGGTTCGGGAGTGAGACGACGCGGGCTTCTGACGATGCCCTTTCTGGCAGCACAAACAGCTTTTCTGGGTTTTCGTTCGCAGCAGGCAATGTGTATCTGGAGGTTGTGGAGGCCGAGCTCGAGGACTTGGCAGCCGATGCGGTTGCGCCGCCTTTGGACCTCGTTCTCGCCATGATGTCCCAGACGGTCAATCGGTTTGAATTGTGGCGATGAACTCGTAGCGAAAGATCATCGAACTCCAAGAAAAAGTAGGGCTATGCCAAAATTGCCAATTGCTGATTCTGGTCTCACTGCAAGGGAGTGAGTGAGGTTCTTGATGTACAGGGCTTGAGGAGCGAGACTAAACCCCAGAACACGCTTAGGACGCGTCGCAATTAATGTAAAGCGAAACGCGTCCGATAAGCCCACCGCCTACCCCTTCGACTAGGTAGGTAGCAGACCGGGCAAACACCACACATCGATCAATCCACCAGTACATTCTCGGAATTGCTAGTGCCGTTTTTTTGCCAGTGGTGCTACCTTGATACAATCTGACATTTGCATTTTCAAACTACAGCGAAGAGAATTTGCCAGTGGCTCTTCAAAGGCAGTCGATCATCAGTTGCCCAGGCATTTCTTCCATCTCGACCACCCAGCGGCACTACTTTGAACCATTTGCAGCGTTTCGCCGGTCCTGTCTATTTGCTCACCAATTGGTGGCTCAAGACCATACTGCCGGGTTGCTATAGGCCCCAGGGTCGACGCCTACCAACTTTTCTGTCCTTTGGGACTGAGTCCACCCTCCCGGGGTATAAACAACAACAATCTCCTCGGCATCTTCACTGCGAACCTCGCACACAATGCGCCAGACGGTTGGTCTTGTGGAGCAGAGTAGATCATGACTTCAAGTGAGCCGGGAACCCATTTGCGACCGCTCGTTGTGAGCATGGACTGACTGTGGAACAGAGTCGACAGCGGCAGAGCCACAGTGGCCTCCGCGATCACCACACGAAGCTTTACTCGGCACGCCCGGCGGCCGCGAGAGGCTACGTCGCCTAGCTGAGCGAGGCTCACCGTCGCCTTCGCCGACCAAACTACGAGCATCCAGGAATACGGGCTCGATTCGTACGAGGGACACAGACTTCGAGGACGAGATCGGTGACCTGGACGACGATGACGACGAGGAGACGCTACAGTTGAAATTACAGGAAATACAGGCCAGGCTCAAGTTGAAGAAGCTACAAAAGACGCAACGGAGGGCGGATGCAAGTTCGGATCTGGAGAACGAGTCTGTGCCTCGAGCCAAGTCAGCGACCGGATCACACAGGTTCGAGGGAAGCCAGAGGCCGCAGCCGCAAACCCAACCACCCATCGAAGTCCCCGCTTCACCCGTGAGGCGCACCCAGGCGACGAATGAGAACATTCAGAGGTCTCCTAGCAGAGTGCTGCTGGGAATCGACAAAGGCCTGAAGGGCAAAGACGTCTCTTTGAAAAGGGCACCGAGCTCACGAAGGCCTCCGGACACGCGGGTCGGGCTAGAGTTGGAGGGATCCAGGACACCGAGTTCGGGACGTGCGAGCAGTTCGCAGGAGAACCACAGGCCGCTCAGCTTCAGCGAGCGACTAGCCTCGGCGAGGTCAGAGGAGATCAGCCGGAAAGACAAACAGGAGCGCATCCAGAAGCTTCGAAGTACAGCCTTTGGCGTCGGGCAGAATGAAACAGAGGAATATCGAGCCAAGGCAGTGGAACTTCCAAACGTTCCCATGAAAGCGCCGTCATACAGCCGAGATGAGATATTGGGGGTTGGCAACAAGCCCAAGACCGGGGGTTACCTGCAACGCAGCAAAACGGCGCCTGACGTGAGGCACAGGCCAATGAGCCAGGAACCTTCTTCAGAGGCCGATAACCCTTTCCACTCGCAATCATTAGACGGGGATATGAACGGCCAAAAGGAGGGAGGCGAAGGAGAAGCATCCTTTGAACCGTACTCCGGGCTGCACCTCTCCAAACGAATTCTCCCTCACAACGTGGTCACGCGGCAGATTGCGGGCAAGAAGACCTATCTAGTCCAAGATCTGTTGCGCCAGGTCAAGGCGCCCGACTTCTCGCTGCCTGACGTCGAGAGCGACATCGTTGTGTTCGCCATCGTAGCTGAGAAGTCCGAGCCCCAGTTCCACAAGCCTGTCGCTGACAGCGAGGGCAAGAAGAAAGTCAACCAACCCAGTGAGCGAAGCAAGTTCATGGTTGTCACCCTCGCCGATCTGGAGTACGAAATCGGCCTGTACCTCTTCAGCACAGGCTTCACCCGCTTCTACAAGCTCCCCATCGGCACCGTCGTCGCTATCCTGAACCCGGAGATCATGCCGCCGCCGCGCGGGCGTGAGGACACTGGCAAGTTCTCGCTGGTCATCAACTCCGACGGCGACACGATCCTCGAGATCGGCAACGCACGCGACATGGGCTGGTGCGAGTCGGTCAGGCGCGACGGCAAGCGCTGCAACTCGTGGGTCAACACCAGGAAGACCAAGCACTGCGAGTTCCACACCAACGAGGCGCTGCGCCGGGCGCGCACCGCGCGCAACGAGGTCAACCAGCTCAGCTTCGGCTTCGGCAGCAAGTACAAGAAGTCCAAGGTCATAGTGGACCTGGAGCCCGGCAGCCGGGAGCACAGGCTCTACAACGGTAAGCCGCCGCTCGAGGGCCACTACGACGCCGAGACGCAGAGCCGCTACTTCATCGCCGGCTCGGGCGGCGCCAACCACGCGAGCTCGGCCAGCCTGATCGACGGCGGCATGGCGGACAGGGCCGAGCGGGAGGAGGGGCTGAAGCGCCGCATCGCGGCCAAGGAGAAGGAGCGGGAGATCGCGCGCAAGCTGGGCGAGATGGGCGGCGGCGCGGGGAGGGAGTACATGCGCCGCGGTGGCGGTGGCGGTGGCGGAGGAGGAGGCGATCGCATCCCCGCCTCGTCTTCAGCGTCGTCCATGTCCAGCCTCCGGCCGCACGAGCCGCCGCCGCCGCCGCCGTCCTCGCAGCAGCGCGCCCTCGACGCCAAGGCGGCACTAGGTCTGCTCTCGCGGCCGCGCGACGCCCAGGTCCACCTCAGCCCCGTCAAGCGCAAGCGCTCCGAGTCGGCGCAGTCCGGCTCGACGGCCACTTCTGCTGCCGGCGGCCGGACGGGAGGCTTCGGCTGGGGCGGCAACCTCAAGGACAAGCTCGCGCGGATGAAGGACGGGGAGAGCCTGCGGCCGAGCAGCGCGGCCTCGAGGGTCGCGACGACGACGGCGACGGGCGGCGCCGACGTCGGTGGCCAGCCGGTGCGCAAGAAGACGCGGTTCGTCACGGAGAAGGGCATCCGCGAGGCGGGCAGGGAGAGCCTGGGCGGCGCGGAGCTTCCCCCGCCGCCGGGTGGTGGCAGTGGTGGGAGTGACAGCGCCGAGGAGAAGAAGAGGAAGAGAAGCATGATGGCGGCGAGGGCGGTGGCGCTGGACGATGATGATGACGACGAGGACTTGTTAGTTATTGTCTGACTGTCGTCCCTCTGGATCACGAAGCGTCTTTGGGAAGATATTGCCGTTTGGAGTTTTCATCACCGGATCACACAGGAGTATCGAATGGATTAGATGGAGGTTTATATGAGAGCTGGGCACATTAGACTGCCAGCTCCCTCCGTATCATGACTAGCATAATGCGATGAAACAAAGTTGATGAGATACAAAGATCGGCTCACATTCTGGGGTGGTCGCCAGCATTTGACAGCAAAAGCAAGAGATGCTGTACCGAATCCACTTTGAAGCTCTCACCTCTCAGACCAACCTTCAGGACTGAAGAAGTGGCGAGAGCGTCATTCACGTCTCGTCCGGCATGAGGCCGGCTTGCGAAGAACCAACGTGAGTTGATCAAGAGTTGTGGACTCGTAACGGAGAAATAGAGGTGCAGGGGCATTTGATGTAAGCCCAATAAGGCAGGTCAGTCGTCATATTACACGTAGACGCATGCGTACATACATTAGGCAACCCAAGGCAATCAACCCATCACCGTGTTGAGTAAACATCGAAAGGAGAGGTAAACCAAACACGCATCGGACTCGTACGCATACTTGGTTTTACTGCCCTCGTAATCGCTGTCGATTGAATAAGACATTCCCAACCTGCTAAACCGTCCTCGCGGCTCTCCACTTCAGAGGTCGGGTGCGGCACGGAACCCGAGACCGCCGTTGCTGCGCCGTTTGGTATAAGACGAGTCCATTGCTCGACAAACCTAGGCAAGCTCTGCCTCCGCAATTGTCTTTGGAGCCGTCTCCTGAACCAGCTGAATCAGGGGTAATAGTCTCGCGACTGGCAAGAGACGCAAGACAACAATCCCAAGGTCTACTATAAATACAAACTGACCATGCGGCTGCACATTGGTGGCCGCTCCGGACTTGTCGCCGGCCTTGCGCTCTGTCAGCCGCATGTTGCAGCAGCATCGGACCCGACACAGAAAACCATACTGGGCAGCTCCAACCCTCTTGACGAGAGCTTCGGTGTATATGTCAAGGAGCTCCTGGACAAGTGGCACGTTCCCGGCGTCGCTATCGCTGTTGTCGATGGCGATGATATCTGGGCCGAGGTGAGTTTGTACAATCATTGATCCTTCCTTCAATATGCTCGAACATCTACTGGGACATCTTCTACTTTTGATCTCATTCTTATTGAAGTTTAGAAGTGCTAAACAACTCTCAAAGGGCTACGGCATCGCCACCTTCCCCTCCACCCCAGTCACCCCCTCGACCCTCTTCTACACGGGCAGCACCACAAAGGCCTTTGTCGCGGGCGCCCTCTCCCTCATGATCGACTCGGGCAACTACACCCTGCCCGCGCTGCCGCCCACGGGCCCGCCCTCGCCCTACCGCCACGCCTCGCTCCAGCTGCCGAGCCCGGAGCACGACTACGCGCCCCGCAAGCTGGACTGGACGACGCCCATCTCGGCCGTCCTGGGCGACGATTTCGTGCTGCAGGACGCCTGGGCGACGGCGCACCTGACGCTGCAGGACGCGCTGTCGCACCGCACAGGCATGCCGCGCCACGACGGCGCCATCAGCCGGCGCTACGGCGACGGCGACGGCGCGCCGGCCGCCACGGTGCGCGACATCACGCGCAGCCTGCGGCACCTGCCGCTGTCGGCCGAGCCCCGCGAGAAGTTCATGTACTGCAACCTCATGTACGCCGTGCTCTCGCACTGCGTCGAGACGCTGGCGGGCGGCCGCTGGCTGGGCGACCTGCTGCGCGAGTGGATCTGGGCGCCGCTGGGGATGCGGTCGACCTTCTTCAGCCTCGAGGACGCGCTGGCGGCGGAGCGGGAGGCGCCCGGTGCTGTCCACCTCGCGGGGGGCTACTACTGGGACAACGCGACGGCCGGGTTCGCGCGGGCGCCGTTCATCGGGGTCCGCGAGGTCAGCGGCGCGGGCGGGATCCTGTCCAACGTCGAGGACTATGCGCGGTGGGTCAAGTGCCACCTCGACGGGGGCCGGCCCGTCTTCTCAGAGGAAGGGATCGCGGCGGTGAGGAAGCCGCAGATGCCGGTCGACTCGGACGGCCCGGTGCTGTTCGACACGCCGCAGTCGTACGCGAGCGGGTGGTTCACGTCGTCCTACCGCGGGCACCGGTTCTGGACGCACAGCGGCGGGATGCACGCCTACGGGGCCGAGGTGTACATGTTCCCCGACGACAAGTTTGGCGTCGTGGCGCTCGGCAACACGGCTATGACTTCCAACGCGGCGGAGGAGGCGGCCATATGGAGACTCATCGACGAGAAGTTGAAGATTCCCGAAACAGAGAGGATAGACTGGACCAAGAGGTAAGGGGTTTCAACGAATTTTATTAAGCGAGTACGAGTAATCTGGATCTGACATCATCAACACGGACAGATGGGAGACATTGATCGGCAAAAAAGACATCGTGATCGATGGGGCGCTCGACGAGATGTTCCCAGACCGCAAAGAACCGGGCCTGCCACACGACCTACCGTTGGAAAGCTATGCCGGGACGTACTTCCACCCGGGCTACATGAACCTGACCATCCAGGTGGTCGAGTCGGAGGCCAATGACAAGCCTGGCAAGACTCTCTATGCCGAGAGGCCCGATGCCACCTGGATGATGACATACGATTTCCAGCACGTCTCGTCTGAATACTGGATGGTGTATCTCGGTCTGATATACGAGCGCAGTGGCAACATGCGCCTGTACGCCCCTGCTCAATTCAAGATAGGCCCGTCAGGCAAGGTCACGGGGCTCGAGATAGGGTATCGATCGGACGGAGCGTTGGAAGGCAACATCTTGTTCACCAAGATCGACTGAGCAGGGCGACTGAAGCCCTTCTGGCACAGCTGTGCTGTCTACTCTTCCAAAATCATCTGTTCATACTTTTGCACAGTCAGCACATCTTGTCTATACGAGTAGGCTGTGAAGACATTTGAGAGAGAGTTCAAGAGAGAAATCAGACTGTTGAGCTTGATAATTTAAGTTTGGATCAACATGGAAAATTCAGTTGGCCGTTCTTAAGAAGTGTGTGTCATCATGATAGGGAAGGAATAAATAAGGAATGTTAAAATGCTTACCATTGCCTGAGAAGAAGTGATTGTGTGTGCAGACATGTTAGCTTCTCATATCACAGGAATATCAGAGAGAAGTGAAGAAATGTTGTCCAAAAGAAAGGCCGACAAAATTTAAACTGCAGAAAAAGGGAGGCACAAAATTGTGGGTCGAGCAGCCACACGAAGCAGCTCCAGTGCTCCAGTTGTGTGGCTGTTGTTGTTGGTTGGTGGCTGCCCAGCTCCAGCTGTCCCGTCTGCTGAACGTCAGCGATTTTCAGCGCTGGGAGCACGTCAGTGCTGAGTGCTGGGGGGGCTTTGCAAGAGGGACCCCACCTTTGCATGAAGCCGAAATTATTGTTTGTTCCCAAAGTGGTGACCCCTCCTCCAGTCCCATTGCCCTGACAGCCGCTTCAAATCTTGGAAACCCAACACCACGTCTACCCGACCTCGACCCGAGACTGCCTTCTCTCTGAGCTTTCTCTGCGCAAGACACACATACCCCCTTTCTATCTTCCTCCAGAAACCCTCCAAAATCAGACAAGATGGCCGGTAAGTCAAGCTGCGCAACGGCGCTGGTCGCCCTCAGCTCTCCCCTCCTCAGCCCCCCCGCTTCTCTTTGTTTTGCGCGATGCGATCATGGGGCATACATGGGCGAACCTTGGCTGACATTGAACCTCGCGCGACAGAGTACGAGAACGTTGCGAGTAAGTCTCCCGATGCGAGCACCTCTGGCAATCTCTGGATTGCATATCCCACGTCCTCGCCGACCGGCACAACAAACGCTTCCCGAACCCACGCCCGCGACTGACAAATCTGCGCGCCTCATCTAGAGCAATTCGTCGAGTTCTACTACAACTCCTTTGACTCGGATCGCAAGACCCTCGCTGGTCTCTACGTGAGTCCTGCTAGCGAAGCTCCATACAAGGAACGTCTAGTTAACATGGCTGTGCAGCGAGACAACTCTATGCTGACCTTCGAGTCGGCCTCCTCTCTTGGTGCCACCGCTATCGTCGAGAAGCTTTCGGTGAGTTGGGTTACCGCTGAAGGCTACAGAGAAGGGCGAACTGACTGATGTACCACAGGGCCTCCCCTTCCAGAAGGTCAAGCACCAGGTCTCGACTCTCGACGCGCAGCCCACCGTTGAGGGTGGTGTCATCATCCTGATCACCGGGCAGCTCCTTGTAAGTCCTATAGGGCCCAGCGAGCCACGCGGAGCTTCTCACTGACCCATCATCTTCGCTCAAACAGGTCGACGAGGAGCAGCGCCCGATGAACTTCTCTCAGACCTTCCAGCTCATGAAGGATGCTAGCGGCCAGTACTTCGTCTTCAACGACATCTTCAAGCTTGTCTTCGGCTAGTCGATGAAAGGAGCGTGCGCGGAACGGTTTCTGTCAACAAAAGGGGATAGACGCATGACTGATCATGGTCGTGCATGGTGAGGCTGGGCTTGAGCATACAGTGGGAAAGGACATTGATCGTTGATTCTCAGTGTGGATGGACCACTCTTGCGGCGGTTGAAATACGCCCTGGCTGAAGGGATAGAAGAAGTAATGATCTTGACGAGTATAGCCCCAAGGCTGTTTTCCCGAGTGGCATTTGACAACATTTGAACATGGGCGGATGATCGAGCCTGTTGGGCTGCAGCTTTCAGGCCGAGAAATGCAGTAGGAGATGACCTCCAACGACATTATAGACTATCGCCAACTCGTTCGTCCGAGTCGTAATAAGGCTACACCCGCTCCCATTATAATCCCTACGTAAACTGCCCAATCATCTCCCTGCCAATCATCTACAGGCGAGCAGGCTCTATATTCGTCCTTCAAACCCCCTTCACGGCCAAGAGAAAGGAACGGGATATCGCCGGAGGGTCTATCACCCTCAAGCTCAAGACAGTTGATAACAAGATCAAGAACGTCGATGAGGTTTTGGGCTTCGGAGCGAACCGCAGCGGACGTCGCACCGTAGTGACTAAATACTTGATCAGCCATGACGGGCCCCAACCGGCATCGCTGGACGGCGGCCTGACAGTGCCAACCGGCCCCTGTCTCCGGCATGGCCGGCCGGAAACCGGGCTGTCTACGTTAGGCTGAGTAACTCAAACAGTAGCCCCCAGCAATGTGTTTTCCTGTGAATCAAGGGAATGGAGACGGCGCAACGATGTGCCTGTCAGATGCGTGAGAGCAACTAACAAGGGAGCCACGTAAGGGTACCACGTCATTCTACGTTGCTTGTGACTGTGCAGCAGAAGCTCTGTATCTTCGCTGCCTAATTCTAGAAGGACTTACTTATACATAAAAACGACCCTTTGGTTGGTATTCATTATCCGATTGAGGATAAATGTAAAGAGCACGTACTTGTACACAGAAATCCTATTTTGAGGGACGGGACCTGCACAGAGTGTTTGGAAGCTGTTTCGAACTTTCCCCAAGGCACGCCAATTCTGAACTCACGAATCCCGGTGTCTGGGCCATTGTGTTTGGAGGGAGAATCCAGAAAGTGGTGTGGATCAATCCGCGCCTCGTACAGCGAAGGAGGGACCCCTGGTTTTCTGCTTGTTGTCAGGAATACACCAACCAGAACCAGCCTCTGCTGCTTGTTCTTGTCTTTGACGGGACGACTGGGCGCCCCACCTCGTTGCTCCAGGCCCCAAGCCTCAACCAGCCGACCCAAAAGGCAACGTGCTAAGTTCCCGCCCAGGAGGAGCTGACGACGAAAAGCTTCCCGACCTCTCCCTTCTCGCCGCAAGCAGACCAAATAAATCCAACACTCCGCGCATTCGCAACGAACGACAGCGAACTGCATACACAAGCCAGCATCGCACCCAAGGGTTTCAGCCCACTCGCATTATATCCATCCGCGCGCTGCTCAGTCGAGCCGCTATCCCCTTGTCTTGAGGGAGACCTTAGACGCTGCGAACAGCAACGTCCCATCTCATCTACGAAACAGTAGATCTAAAACCGTCAACGAGTATAGCTTGACAATCAACAAATCGCCAAGATGACTCTCAAAGAGGAATTCGCGACGAGAAATTTCAGTGCGTCATCCACCGCCGATAGACACAACATTGGCGGCATTTAATACTAACAGCTCGACAGGTATCTACGGACAATGGTAAGCAGCTTCCTCGAGTCGGCTGCGCCGGCCATGCCCCTGCAGACCAGACTCTTCTCTGCTGTTGCGCAATCATACGATGGGCCAAAGCCCCGAATCATGCTCTTTGTAGCCATCTGTGATAGCTCACCGTCACAGGGGATATGATCGTTGGATTACAATATTGAAGAGATCAACTGGCTAACGTGGCGTCCCTACAGGCTCGGCGTCCTGTCCATGATTCTGTGTTTTGCTCTCGGACTAGCCAACATCATCACCACCCGGTTCGGCGTCATTCCCTTCGCCATTGTCTGCCTGTAAGCAATTCCCCCCTTTCGCCTCTCTTTGACCTTGGCCTTCGGCCGAGATCATAGGACACGCGGCCGCTGACTCTCCGCAATAGGGCATGCTCCTTCATCATCCTCTTCATCGAGGTGCCCCTCCTCCTGCGAATCTGCCCGACCTCGTCGACGTTTGACGCCGCCATCCGCAAGGTCTCGACCAACTACATGCGCGCTGCCGCCTACGGCGCCATGGGCCTCGTCCAGTGGCTGTCGCTGATCGTGCACACCACCCCGCTGGTCGCCGCCGCGCTCTTCCTGACCCTGACCGCCGCCTGCTACCTCCTCGCCGCTCTCAAGAAGCAGGCCTTTGTCGGGAGCCGGACGCTGGGCGGGCAGGGCGTCGCGCAGATGATTGTATAAGTCAAACCATCTCTCAACGCCTGATCTGGCAATGGCGACTTGTTGGCTGGGTCTCAACTTTGTGTACACGGAAAAGGTTGAAAGGGGCGAATATCTACTAGCTCTTAAAGTGTTCCAGGCCAACCGACGACGAAACTCTGACGACGCTTAATACGACGACTGAACCCTCACGTCATGAACATGATAGGAGAAGTGGATCCAAAAAAGGAAAGAGAGATGGAGGTATTGCAATGAAAAGGAGAGGCGTAGGAGGTTCAAAGCCTGTGGCTTCGGCCTGCACGAGACGGTACGGAGGTGGAATTGCATCTTTGGGTTGGGGTTCAGGCGTCTCGGACTGAGAGTGCATAGGCGCAGGTGGTTTCTCCATCGCTTGTGCCTATCCACTTTGTCTTTTTCCCGCTATATGATTTTTGTCTTTTGTTCCTGTTTCCTGGTCTTTTTTTATCTTTTGTCTTGCCCCGTTGAAAGGGATACCATGTGCTTCTAGAGATAGGTTTTATGACTTGGCTGAGCCCCCCCCAAATGACGAACAGGATTGATTATCATAGTTAGAGTCAATGTGAGAACTGTGATATGGGAGCTGTAGAGGCGAGAGCCGCATCGAAGAAGCTCTGCCAGACTGTGCCTGTACGTGTGGGGGGTTGTGGTACCGAAGCAGTGAAACACTGACGGACAGATTTCTTGACAAGGCGTCATTCCCGGTCGAGCTTGTTGATAAGGGGCCTACAGGCAAATATTCAAAAGGGTTGGCATATCAGATCTATACGGGTACAAGGTGGTTGACAGCTTCACAAGTTTCGAGAAGCTCGTGGAAGCCGTTGAAGATCTCGACTAGGGAGTAGCTCGAGCTCACAGCTTAGCGATATCTATTGCATAAACAGAAAACGTAATTCAAGCAGACAGGGATTCAGCTTTCCATCATGCATGTCACACGCATGGGAATTAAAAGAAACACCTAACCTCTGTGTGAAAGCCAATGGCCAGAACCTTTTGGCCCATGGACCAATGCGTTTGCAGAGCTCGTGACCGACGACTGCCAGACCGGTCTTGCCAAGAGTGGTCTAGCCAGGTGGTCCTCTCTCTCAACGGCAGTGCCTGGAGCTCCTTTGCTTCCCAATGACAATGGGTACCGTCGGCTTCCAGGAGGAGGGAGCTCTGGTGGCTGGCTGGCTGCAGGTATAGGTATCTTTTTACACTTCGTGATCGTGTGAAAGTGGCTTGCATTTCTCCCACGTCACGCTTGGCATGGGGACAGCAGCATCATCAATTGCAGTTGGGCAAAGTCCCGGCCGTGCTTTGTCCAGATCACCAAAAACGTTTCTTTCGAAGCCCCAAGCGGACGGCCGGGAAAAGCAAACTTGGGCCCTCACGGATGATGGGCGTTTTTTGTTCGGATATGGCGTCATGCGATCAAGCCTCTGGAGAGGTGTTCCCTCGTTTGGTGATCGATTGGCGGCGCTACAGTGGGCAAACGGTGCTGGAATGACGCTGTAATTGAATTTTCTTTAGAGTGAGTGGGAGTGGGGATGGGTGATTGACGTCCGCCAGAGACTGTGTACAAGAAGCTGGCTGCTGTGCAGAAGAGCCCGGAGCTTCCCCCCTCAAGTTTTACAGCAGAGGTCCACAGGATCTTGTGTAGGTATCTGAGACGACACCCCCGACTCGTTCCCAATCTCGATTCAGGAAACGGGCTCGGCTTGCCTCTTTTTCTCTCATTACCCCAAAGAAGCGGTGACCAAAAGGAAAATGGCTCCTTTCCCTGTATCATTGGACACGCGTGCAGAGGGGAGGGAGCATGGATGCCAGATTTTGCACCTTTGGTCCAAAGTCTATGTCTGATGCAGAATGGGCAAACAGTGACTTTGTCAGTACCGAGCTCGTACTGTGGACGAGGGGTGGAGACGTTGGCTGGCCCGGGGTGGGGTCGCTATGCACGCCATCTCGAGAATGGGATTGAATCGGCCACGGGTTCAGGTACCTGAATGCTGTCGAAAGCAGAAAGGCACTCTCGGTCGTCTTTTGTCTTCCTTTGTCTCTTCCTCAACCCACAGCCGCCTGACGGGACAAACTCGGGAGGCCGCCCGACGGGAAATGGCGCAGGCAATAAGAGGAGGAGGAGGAGGCTACCCGGATGCAGCAACGAAAGCTATAGATAGTAAAATGCCTCAAGGCAGGCCCAGAGAGGCAGATTCAGGAAGCTCGTGACAGAAAATCACTCTTGCAGCAGGAATACATTGGAGGCGGTAAAGGGCAGCAAGTAGATAGATACCTACTCCGGTACCTGAGACCAGAAAGCCGCTAGGGCGGAAGTCCTTGACGAGATCGTGACCATCAGGTGCCCTCGCGGGGCCTGTTGGGAAGGGGCGGTCGGGTCGCCAGTTGGAAGCCGGCGGCGTGCTAGTGTGGTTCGCTCCTGGCTCGAATGGCGCATCCTGCAGGCCCCAAGGCGGCCGGATCCCTGTTTTTGGCGGGGAAATGGGCCATGAATCCATGATGTCGCTGTGGACGAGGGATGCCGGTGCGTGTGATGAGTGTGCGACTTTGTGCCTGCTCTGCTGGCGTCAACTAATGACGACCCAGGCATTTCTCATCGATCGTATAAGTGGCCTGGGTCCGGCCCGCATCTTCTCTCGACAAGAAAGCAAGCAGTGTTTCATCATGAGCTTCAGGTTGTAATGTGACCTGCTTTTCGACGACTTGACTGTCCCGTATTACGACACCACCCCCTTTTTTGGTCTACTTACTATCCTCATCCTCAATTGACCATTCCTGGGACCTCTCTACAGATTCCCATCTTCTCCCTCGGTTCTACAGGAACACACCTTTTTGTTTGTGAGTAACACCCTGTTTGTCTTGGCTGGACCCGAGCCAGCCCACCTCATGCACTGCTTGCATTTGCACATTGGAGAGCATCGGCACGGCCCCATTGCATGTGCTGTCTGTTGTTCCCGGGACGATGCAGCTTCCCGGGTCCTTCACCCGAGAGACAGGCGCGAGACAGGGAGCTCAAGGGAGGTTTCAAGGGAACCGCTGAGCAAGTTTTCGAAGTGGCATCCGGATCGACCAGCCAGTGATAGGCGACGGAGAGCGTGAGCACGGCAGTTGGCAACCACTCGCCTGAGCAGCAAAGTCATCACCTACCCGGGTGCTTCCTGCGAAGCACCCGGTAGCGTGCCGTCGACGAGGGATGCAGCGTCGGCAACACCATAAAACCAAGCCACGGCGGGGGAGCAGATCCTCAACTTTGTGACGACCTGGCTTTCCTCATTCCTTCGTCTGGCGGTGTCGCGTCTCTCCTGATACCAAGCTTTGTTCGGCTATCTATCACTGATCAGCTATCTCTGACTCTTTCGCTCCCTCGCTCGCTCCGTTGCTTATCGCTTGGGCTGGTGGGCCTCCGGGTGTCAGTAGCTTTGGCCTCCAGCTCTTTCTCTAGCTGCGTCTTATCTCGGTCGTGGTGGTGTTAGCAACACACACACAGCACACGCACTGACTGCGCTGGAGCCGACCAAGTACCTGCCGATTCAATGCTCAACAGCCTCAACCAAGTCCCCTGTCACGGTAGTGCCGCGCCCCTTGCAAAGAAGCCCTTTATCTCGCGAAGCTGCTCTCTCTGACACGCCCTATCTTGTTTCTGCATACCACATCTGCCTCTTTTTTTCACCGCTCCTGTTATTATCCTCACGGCAAGCAATTGCAGCATGGCTAACCAGGTCGTATGACCCTCAGACAACTATAATACGTTTTTGCATTCTACGAGCTGTGAGAGGGAAGGGCTCACGACTCAATTACACTTCTACTTACACCAACTTCCACCCGATTCCTCCGCTGCTATCCGTCCCGTCCGTATCCGCGGTTCGATTCATTCTCACTCCATCCATCCGTCCGCTGAATCGACTGGTTGCAAGCCCAAAAACCCTAATACACAATGTCGGCCACGGCTGCCCAGCAGACTCCTGCGGTCCCCCCGCGCCCGTCTAGGGGTCAGGATAAGGACCAGATGCCCAAGATTCCGCCTCGGCCCATCAAGAACCGCATCGAGCGCTCCCTCTCCCCCAACCCCGACCGCTTCGCTCCCTCCCCCCTCAACGACGAGTTCCTCAACAAGAGCCCTCGCTCCAAACACCTGAGTCCCACGAAGCTCGCCTTCCCCTCAGACCCTATCGACCGTGCCGCCTCTGTCGAGATGCCCTCCGTCGGAGAAGAAGGCATGGAGTACGCCGTCGTGGCTGAGGAGCTGAACCAGTCGCGCCGCCAGAGCACCTCGCCCGAGCAGACCCGCACCGTCGGCGAGGACATCAAGCTGCACGCCCCCAAGCCATCTCTGCCGGCCGTCAGCGCCAAGCAGCGCGTCGCCGCCGTCACCCGCACCGACAGCGACCGTGCCGCCAGCTTCGGCATCGGTCGCCCCAGCAGCGATGAGGTGACCCCTTCGAACCGCAGCCTCAAGAAGAAGGCTAGTACGGCTAGCCAGCTGTCCACTACCGAGAGCCACACCGAAGAGGAGCACGGCATCCCCGAGATCGGCCAGCAAGTGCCCATGTACCGCGACGCCGGCGATGTCCAGGCCCCGTCCCCTGCGCCTGGCAGCGAGCCCCCGAAGAAGCATCATGCAAGGAAAACAAGTGCGCGCGGCCTCCCCCCAGGTAGCTACGGCTTACACGGCCACGGCGTGGTGTCCAACGACAAGCTGGACAAGATGTACTATCAAAAGCACCCCGACGAGCTCAAGAAGGAACGCCACAGTCATCACCACGACCGTCCCAATGACTTCTCCATGAGCAGCGATGATCTGAACAAGATAGTGCGAGACACGCATGGCCGCGGACTGGGTCTTGGTGAGTCATCAGATCAAGATGGATAATAATGACTCGAATCTAGGAGAGAAAGGCTGACTTTGACAACTAGGGACTCGTGATCTTGCCGGCACGCCCAGCGAGCAGATCGGATGGCAGGCGATAGAGGAGTCCACTTCGCGTCTCAATTCGCCCCATCCGGCTTCCGCTGAACTGGCCAGGCCCGCCAAGACCAAGCGGTCTGCCTCGGACAGTGGCAATGGCGTGATCCACGTCGAGGAGCCTAGCAGGAGAAGAAGTGTCATGTTTAGTGACGGCGAGACCGCCGGCGTCGACGACTTCCAGGGCCGGGCCGAGACCCCAATCTTAGCCGCCGATGAGGTTGCAAAGGATCCCCTAGCCTACGAGCACGAGCCTGCTGTTGAGCCGCCCAGGGAACGTCGCGGTAGCGCATACGAAATGGAGGAGCCTCAAAGCCGGCCCACTAGCCGCCCGGCCAGCCTGTACAAGGTCCCCTCCTCGGAAATCCGCTCGACTCCCCTTGAGGATGTTGTCGAGTACGAGCCCTTGTTCGAGGACGATAAGGTCAACGCCGAGAAGAAGTCGGCGAGGAAATCCTTTGAGGAGTACAAGGCGAGGTTTCCCAGCAAGGATATCTGGGAGGACGCCCCTAACAGCGTGCACTACACTGCCGAGGTTTCCACGCCTGACATCCCGGAGGAGAAAGATGAGGGCGAGGAGCAGAAGACAATGAGCGAGAATATCATGGACATCCCTCCCAGGGAAGGAGAGACACCAGCTCAGGCCTTTGCTCGCCACCAGGAGGAGCTGGCCCAGAAGGAGTTCCGGCAGGACCCCGAGGCCTTCCTTCACAGGAAACAAAAGCCTACCTTCGTGCAGCACCACGCCCACTTGGCAAAGCAGGTTAAGTCTGAGCGGCCGTCCATGTCACAACGTTTCCCGAGTCGGGATGTCTGGGAGGACACGCCTGACAGTTTGAAGCTGGAGACAACGGTGTCAACGCCCCAGCAGGAGAGCGGCGATGCTGCTTCGCCGTCGGTTGAGTCCAAGCCTTCGATTCCTCAGCGTCCCGGTCGCAAATCCGCTGAGACGACGTCGCCGTCGAGCGACAAGCCCGCCGTTCCCGAGCGGCCGAATGCCGGTGCCAAGCCCCCCGTCTCGGACCGTCCCAAGCCGCAGATCCCGCCGCGACCCGTCAAACAGGGCTCCGGCTCTTCAGATAAGGACGCTGATGCCGCCCCTCGATCCAAGCCCGCCGTGCCCGTGCGGCCCATGGGCTCTAAGATCGCTGCCCTTCAGGCCGGTTTCATGTCAGACCTCAACAAGCGCCTGCAGCTCGGGCCGCAAGCGCCCAAGAAGGAAGAGCAGCCTGCGGAAGAGGAACGTGCTGCTCCGGTGGAGGAGAAGGAGAAGGTGCCGCTCTCGGACGCACGTAAGGGGCGCGCCAGGGGTCCGCAGAGGCGGGCGCCGCGGTCGAGCCCTTCACCTGCGGCGGCGCTATCGGGAGCGTCGGAGCAGAAGACCGCGGCGACGCTGGCTTTCTCTACCACGGTGACGACGTTCAGCATTAATCCTGAGGACGGGGGTGTCTCGGTCCCAGTCGGCCGTGCCCCAGTTTCTGAGCCTGCGTCTGCTGTCGAGAAGGAGGAGCCGGTGACCGAGAAGGCGACTACCGCTGCTGCTGTCGCTGAGCATGAGCTCGAGAAGGCGGCTCCCGAGGAGAAGAGGGCACACCCTGCCCCGGCTGACGTTGTGGCGCACGAGATCGAGAAGGCACCCGAGGCCGAGGCCCCCGCTGCTGCCTTCGAGAAGACGGAGACGCTGGCGACCAACACGGCTGGCGAGACGCTGCTAGAGACCAAGGTCTCTGAGGATGCCGAGGACAACAAGAAGACGGTTGAGCCGAAGGAGGTTGATGAGGTTGTCAAGAACTAAGGAAGGACCGAAAGAGAGAAAGGGGGATGATGTAATGGGAGGAGAGAAGGTATAGCGACTTGTTGTTTTCTTCTTCTTTCGGGTGTTTTTGTGGTTCTTGTGATTGTTGTCAACATCAGTCAGACCAATCCTTCCATTCATTCCTTTGAATACTGTATTATGCACAGAGAAAGATTTGCAGCTTGGGGGGGGGGTTC